AATGTTTTCTGTAAGTGTCTGTACAGATTTGTGCCAAGCCTCCCATAGCAGCCAAATTGCGAGAGCTGAGGACTTCCTGCATCAGGCTCAGTTCTCACTTCCCAAAATTGGTGCTGGGCTGGATTTTTTTGGGGTTATTATACTGATTTCTCAGCTGCTGCTAAAAACTTCATAATTAAAAACACCCACAAGAAAACCCCAGAAACCCTGCAACAAACAACACCAAAAAAAACCCAAACCAAAACCAAAAGCCCCAAACAGGCAGATCCTGACCTCTTTACTCTGTCTTTGGAGGAACTTGATTCATATTGTGCTTGGAAACTACACAAAGGGCGTGTGGATTCACTGCTTTGTTCTGCACATCTTTATGCATGAACAAATGCCATTGCTGTATAAGAAGCTTGGAGTGTTCCATCCTCCTGGTGGCACTCACCAAAGTATTTGCTAAGAAAAGTATTCACAGAATGCTATGGGGTTGGAAGGGACCTCTGGAGATCATCTCCTCCAACCCCCTGCCACAGCAGGGGCACCCACAGCAGGTCCCACAGGAACGTGTCCAGGAGGGTTTGGAATGTCTCCAGAGAAGGACACTCCACCACCTCTCTGGGCAGCCTCTGCCAGGGCTCTGCCACCCTCACACCAAACAAGTTCCTCCTCATGTTCAGATGGAACTTCCCATGTTCCAGTTTGTGCCCGTTCCCTCGGGTCCTGTCCCTGGGCACCACTGAGAAAAGCCTGGCCCCATCCTCCTGACCCCCACCCTTGAAGGATTTATCATCTTTGTAGCCTCTGCTGTCCCCTCTCCAGCAGTTCCCTGTCCTTCTGGAACTGGGGAGCCCAGAACTGGTCCCAGTGCTCCAGATGGGGCCTCCCCAGGACAGAGCAGAGGGGCAGGATGACCTCCCTCCACCTGCTGCTCACCCTCTTCCTGATGCCCCCCAGGATGCCCTTGGCCTTCTTGGCCACCAGGGCCCATTGCTGGCTCCTGGGCATCCTGTTGTCCACCAGGACTCCCAGGTCTTTCTCCTCAGAGCTGCTCTCCAGCAGGTCAGCCCCAACCTGTCCTGGTGCAGGGGGTTATTCCTCCCCAGGTGCAGCACCCTACACTTGCCCTTGTTGAACTTCATCAGGTTCCTCTCTGCCCAACTCTCCAGCCTGTCCAGGTCTCTCTGGATGGTGGCACAGCCTTCTGCTGTGTCAGCCACCCTTCCCAGTTGTGTATCATCATCAAACTTGCTGAGGGTACGTTACATCCCATAAAAATTGGTGGCCTGGGAAGCCGGGTGTGTTGGGGAACTTGCTGTTCTCCTGCTAGACTTGCTGCAGAGGGTGGAGGCCTGCTTGTAGGTGGCATCCTGGTATAGGCTGAGGTGCTACGTTTGAGGTGATAACGTTAATTGAGCTTTATTTCCTAATTAATTCATTCTGTATCAGCAGTTTGAGGGGAATATATAGGGGGTTGTGCAGCTCTGGCCTATGGGAACTTCTCAGCATTTATTGAAGCGCAGATATTCCGTTCATTTAAAATGTCCCAGGGATATTTCTGCTGTATTTTGAAGAACTATTGCTGGTTTCTGCTCATGAGACACTTGTTTGGAAACCCCACGCCCACGATTTTATCCCCATCCTGCCCATCAAGCGAGATGCCACAATCTTGATTTCCCCTTCACGTGCTCAGCTTTTCCAGGCAGCGTGTTTTCTGGGCGCTGTGTGGTATGTGGCAGCTCACAGCTTACCCACTTCAGGCTAAGAACTTCAATCTTTAAAAAAAAAAAAAACCAACAAACCAACCCAAAAGCCAGTGGAGTGCTCTTGCTGTTCAATAGCAGCAGGAAATAATTTTTCTGCTGGTACGTTCTCTAGCACTTAGTTTTAAAAGCTTTTATTTGCATGGGAAAGTGTATCCTTCTTCCTTTATGAGTTGTTCCAAACTGTTAACTATTGCATATGTCTGGGAAATACCAACCCAAAAATTAAGATATGAGCAAATTTAGGAAGATAAAGTTTGGAGGGAAAGTTCTGGGTTGTTTTCTTACTGTACGTAATCAGCACTCTTCATGAACTGCCACCTCTTTTTAAGCATTCCTGAACTCCAGTTCCTTTCTAAGGAGCTTGCTTGTATTTATTCCAGTGGGATATTCAATTCCATAATACTAATCTTCCTGGGAACCGAGTTGGAATTGAGGTAATAGTTTTATGAAGACTTAAAAGCCTTGGTTCATCCTGTTTTCTAAACCTGGTTCGCACCAGTTACAGGCTTTGTTGGTTTTCCATAATGATCAAAAGTATTCAGTTTGTTTCAGACTTACCCTGATAAGGAGCGTGGACTCTGTCAAGTTGCAGGTCGTTGATTTATTTATTTATTTTTTTGTGTGTGTTGAGGATTTTTTTCCCCCCACTGCTGTTTGGTGGAAATTCCAGACAAGTGGGGGGAAACTCCAAAGTAAAAGAAGAAATGAAATGTCTGCATCGTATCACGGGATGTGTGAAGAAAGGAATTAAAATATGAAAGAAAAGGCTAATTAAGTGGGCGCTTTTGCCACTAAATCTGTACAAATCCCTTCGTGCCTTTGTGCCAACATGAATTCATTCAATTCTTGTGAGCATTTGTCACCAGAAAGAGGACAGGATTCTTGTCTGGAGGGGTATAATAGAAGAGAATATTTGTGACTCCAACGGCTGTTTGTCTGTAACCTAATTGTAAATCTGATTTTGGTTGTGAGATGTTCTGCACTTCAGATTAAGGAAGAAAACCCCAAACCCTCAGAATTAGAGACCATTCAGTAGTGATGCCTGGCTTCAGTCTCAGCGGGCAGGTAGGGGTTTTGGGATCTCAGAACCACAGAATGATGTGGGGTTGGAAGGCTTTTGGGATCTCAGAACCACAGAATGCTGTGGGGTTGGAAGGGAGCTCTGGAGATCATCTCCTCCAACCCCCTGCCACAGCAGGGGCACCCACAGCAGGTCCCACAGGAACGTGTCCAGGAGGGTTTGGAATGTCTCCAGAGAAGGAGACTCTACCACCTCTCTGGGCAGCCTCTGCCAGGGCTCTGCCACCCTCACAGCAAAGAAGGTCCTCCTCATGTTCAGATGGAGCTTTAGATGGAACAAGTTTGTGCCTGTTTCCTTTTGTCCTGTCCCTGGGCACCACTGAGAAAAGAACCAGCCCCATCCTCCTGACACCCACCCTTGAAGGATTTATAGGTGTATCCATAAGGGAAGAAGTCAAAAAGTGAAGAAAAAGGATTGCTAAAAACCAACTGTGTGAATAAAACATTTTCTGAGGACGAGAAGGCTGTTGGTGAGGGGTAGGATGCTTTCGGGGGTCAGTTGAATTAATCATACTGATATTTAGCCCTTTTGTTTTTTCCCCTTTTTCTCTACCAGGGGTGGCTGTGGGGTGCCGTTCCCCACGGCAGGGGGAGGGAGGAGGTCCCAGCAGTGGGTGGACTTTGCCTGGGACTTTGGCCCTGTGGGCTGGGAAAGGGGGAATCGAGCTTTTCCTGGGCTTCGGATGTTCAACCCATTGGGAATTATCACTGGGGAGAAGGGGGCATGTAAGTTGGGAGCTGGAAATCCCCCGGGGTTCAGAATTTATTCCTCTGCCTTTATTTTTTGGGTTGGAAACTGGGGGATTCAGTGGTGGTGCTGGAATTAGTGGGCGTGCTGGAAGGCGTTTTCCTTCTCCTGGCTGCTCCTTTCCGGGATACCTGCCTCCTCCCCTCATCAAGCTCTGCATAACCTTATTTAAAACATCCTCAGTATGTCCTTTTCCTGCAACCTGCTCGCTTTTCACCTGTGTTTGCATTTCCCTCCCGGGGCGGGGGGGGTGGTTCTTTTTGGGGCTGGCTACAAGGAAACCGAAGCAAAACGCTGACGTTGAATAAATACCTAAAGTTCAGCGCTTTGGTCTTACGAATGAAATGCTTTTCTTGCTTTTCCTTTTAAATGTGCTTTACAAAAATATGGCTTGTTTTAATGCAGAAAGAAGTAAAGCTTCTAAAGCTTTACTGAAACCCACCTCAATTTGACTCTCAAGCCAAAAAAAACCCCCTTTTTGCTGTATTGACCCTTTGGACTCACAAATCTTTTCCTGCTATGACTTAAGTCTTGTATTATACAAATCTCCCTTTGCTTATCCTTTTCCTATACCTTGCTGCTTTTTTTTGACTCTTTCCTTTGGATCACGGCTTGCATGACATTTTTTTTTCTTTCTTTTCCCTTCCTTTTCTTTTTTTCTTTTTTTTTTTTTTTTTTTTTGGGCGTGCTGGAAGGCGTTTTCCTTCTCCTGGCTGCTTCTTTCTGGGATACCTGCCTCCTCCCCACATCTAACTCTGTGTAATCTTATTTAAAACATCCTCAGTATGTCCTTTTCCTGCAACCTGCTCGCTTTTCACCTGTGTTTGCATTTCCCTCCCGGGGCGGGGGGGGGTGGTTCTTTTTGGGGCTGGCTACAAGGAAACCGAAGCAAAACGCTGACGTTGAATAAATACCTAAAGTTCAGCGCTTTGGTCTTACGAATGAAATGCTTTTCTTGCTTTTCCTTTTAAATGTGCTTTACAAAAATATGGCTTGTTTTAATGCAGAAAGAAGTAAAGCTTCTAAAGCTTTACTGAAACCCACCTCAATTTGACTCTCAAGCCAAAAAAAACCCCCTTTTTGCTGTATTGACCCTTTGGACTCACAAATCTTTTCCTGCTATGACTTAAGTCTTGTATTATACAAATCTCCCTTTGCTTATCCTTTTCCTATACCTTGCTGCTTTTTTTTGACTCTTTCCTTTGGATCACGGCTTGCATGACATTTTTTTTTTCTTTCTTTTTCCCTTCCTTTTCTTTTTTTTTTTTTTTTTTTTTTTTTATAATAGCGAAAAGTGCATGCATGCATGCATGAAAAGTGGACATTGTGGGGTGTTTTACAGATTTTCCTTTGTCACCTGTTTTTGTCCCTTTTTTCCTTCCTTTTTTTTTTTTCTTTTTTTTTTTTTTCTGTTTGCAAAGACTCTTGGGAGGATTTGACAGATGTGGTGGAGCAATTGCGCGATGACACCCAAGGTGCGTGCCACGCCAGCGGCTTTCAGCTGGTATTTCTGCTTAATCCTTGGCTTTTTGACTTCTTATTTCGAGCCTGAGTGCAAAATGCAGTTTTTCCTTTTCCTGGGCTGGTAGCTGTGGGTTTCCAAAGGGGCTCGTCCGGTTGAACCAGGTTTCGAAGCCAGAACACGCTGTTCTCCTCACCCTCCCTCTGGATGTTTGGTTTCTGCTTTCAGCCTGTGAAAGCAAACGCCCTCGATGGCTCCAGCGTGTGTATTGCTCTGGCAACTGCATTAATTCACATTTAAAATGCATATTGTGAAGGCTTTTCTTCTAAATTTTCTTTAAATTTTCCTTTTCTTCTAAATTTTATCAGCCCCTTCACGGGTTCCATGGGATCAATTCTGGTTTCTAAATTCATACTGATTCCTGTTTGAAAACATGTGCATATAATGTTGCTTGAACAATTGCTTTAAAAATTTTGGGGTATTTTTTTACTTCAAGTAGAGGTAGAAAAAGTAAATGAACAAGGGGTTGTTTTCCTTACATTAAATGCATTCTGAGACAATTATTTTCCTTCACAATTTACAATTACAATAAACACAACTTAAAAAGTTACGGAAATAAAGGGAAACTAAATTTTTAAAAAATATTTCAGAAATCACCCTGAAAGTTCAGATTTTCTGAAATATCTCTACTTATCAACTTGAGGCTGCAAAAATGACTCTAAAACTTATATTACAAGTTTTGATTAAGACTTAAGACTTGATTGATTAAAAAACCATATTTTTTTAATAGTGCTTCTTACTTGATTCTTAAAAATGGTGCAAGAATGCAATAGTGGAATCCCCGATTCAGCAGGTACTCAAGTGAATTTATGTTTTGATGACTAAATGTAACTGTTGATGCTTGGGATGAAAGTGTTTGCAGCACAAAAGGCTAATGTACCTTTTGGAGGTATGTTTTAAAATGGCAATTTCAAATTAGAAGCTAAAACTACAAGATTGAGCACAAGGCCTGTTACTATAAGGTCAGCAGATGGATTTCAGCTCTTTTTGGCCAATTTGCACATTGAGTGTTTTCAAAGGTGTTGCAAATTGCAGATCCCAGGGTGGCTGGTTTCTCACCAGTAGTTTATTCGGTTCTGGTCTTAGTCTCACTGGTAGGACAGTCACCAAAAGCTGCATTTGTTTCTTTATAGCCCAAATATGCAATTTAAACGTGAAACTTGGTAAAGCAAAATGGGGAAATGAAGTGAAAAATGTTTGTGTTATGGACTCGGTTATAAATAGGGGGTGAGGAATGAGCAACACCGTGAAGGATACAGTACAGATGGGTTTTGCATTGATTTTGTCGGGGTGGGGTACATTTGAATTGTGTCTCCTGTCTGTATTTGTATCTTTGTTTCTTATCACCATCACCCCATTTCTGGTCACTTTTGAAACTCCTGCATCCTGGTGTGTGTGGGAAACTCCTCTGGGATCCATCCGAGGCTGATGGATGCTTTACACGGAGCGTGCTTTCCCCCTCAAAATCATAGAGTCACAGAACAGTTTGGGTGGGAAAGGACCTTAAAGCCCCCCCAGTGCCCCCCCCTGCCCTGGGCAGGGACACCTCCCACCACACCAGGTTGCTCCAAGCCCCCTCCAACCTGCCCTTGAACCCCTCCAGGGATGGGGCAGCCACAGCTTCTCTGGCCAACCTGGGCCAGGCTCTCACCACCCTCCCACCAAACAAGTTCTTCCCCACATCTCAGCTCCATCTCCCCTCTTGCAGGGTCCAACCCTTCCCCCTCCTCCTAGGGCTCCCCTCCCTCATCCAGAGTCCCTCCCCATCTCTCCTGGAGCCCCTTGAGGGACTGGAAGGGGCTCCAAGGTCCCCCTGGAGCCTTCTTTTCTCCAGGCTGAAAAACATAAACCAAAACAAAAGTCAACATTAAGGACATAACAGCAAGAACAAATGAAGCCACCATTTAAACTCTCTATGAAAATGTTTCCCCTCCTAGAAAATCCAATTTCATTTCGGTGTGGTGACGTTAATCCAGCTGCTTTCCACTTTATCCACAGTCCCTCGGAGGAGGCAGGTTGAATTGTGAATATAGGAGCAAAAAATTAGTAGAGTAAAACATCTTTGTGTAGAAACAGCCTTGCCTCTGCTTTTCACTCGTGAGTAGTGGTGTTATTTGTATTTTCAGGGGTGTGCTCTGTGGGCAGGCAGAGGAGGTGTGTGAACGTGGGAAAGCTTCACCTTGAACACAAAAAGCTTTAAAAATGCCTAATGATGTTGAACTCTGGTTTAAATGACGGAAGGCACTTATTCAGCTGGGGATTTGCTTTCCACATTTATTGTAAATTCTACACATGTTCACAATTCCATGAGCAGCTGGAACGAATGCCTTTCCTCGTGTGAATGTGCTTCACTGGAACTGGGGATGTGGCAGATCCGTGGTGCTGGTCCGCTTGGAAAGCAAGAGTTTCCCAATTAACGTTATCTCTGTTAATTGGAATACAGTGGGAACTGTTTACAAGGTGCCATTTCTCTGCCATAGGCAGGAGCAGCCTTCTTAAAATTCACATTGCTCCAAGTTTGGATTCTGGATCGGGTATGGATTCGGTACGTGGAGAACCCAGCTGAACTATTCATTAATTGGCATTTCTTTGAGCAGGTTTATTCAAGTCTACAGTGTTTCATGGCTGCCTGCAGTTGATCAAAGTTCTAGCTTTATGTTAATTTCTCCTTAATTATTGTAGGGTCAATCCAATATGAGGATCAATATCATTTATTATCACCAGGTGAGAAGTACTTAGACCCCAGTCACAGCGTAACCCTTTGAGGTCCAGTGTTGCATTGACATTTTCCTTGACTTCTAGGTTCCTGGAACCTAGAAGAACCATATTTTAACTTTTCAACAAACTCCAGGGTTCCTGAGATGCTTGGGTGCTTTTGAAAACGTGTTTGTGGAAGCTTCTCAGGAACCCTATGCTCTTCATGCTGTTAGTGTGTGAATGACTGTTGCACAGTTTTTTACCTCTTTAGAAACCTGGAAATTGAGTGTTTTAAGGCAACAGGCAGCTGAGCTGATTGTTTTATCCTGTCGTTCAGTCCTGGCCACTGACACCCCACGTGCGAGGCTGCTGTGTTACAAAACACCTTTATTCTGTAGAAGCTCAAATATTTAAACAGCAAAGCATCTCAAGAATTCAAGATCCCTTCAATTGAAATCCAAACCACGTCGAAAGGCAGAGTTTAAGGGCCAAGATTTAACTTGTTAAGGTGTATGACACGGTGTGTGTAGTAAAACACAGGTAGAGATATTGCAGTTTGAGGCAAAAAGAGAAAGTTCTGACTCACAGAGTCTCAGCTGCACATCAGGCTCAGACTGTCAAAGCAGAAAGTGTCTGGGTGAATCTCACTGCCTAAAAGTCCTCTTTTCTTGCTTACCCTGCTCTTCTAGACTCAGTTTTAAAGGTGTAGATGTTGCTGCACATAAAACAGTGGTATATATTATACAGGGTTTAATTTCTGGAATAAATCTTTGGGATTTTACCCAGTTTCATGCTATATAGCAGTTAATCAGTCTGCAAGATGAGAATCATAGATAAGCTGCATATGCAGAGGACCATCCTTCACAACAGGCTAAAGCAGCAGAAACCTCTAATTAATGGGATAAAAACATGTTTCAGTTCTTTAGCCTGTGACTGCACGTTATAGCCTGAAATGAAAGCACAGCCCCACTTTTTCCCTGGGTGCTTTCATCAGCTCAGACGTTCATTAGCTCTTAAAAATGTTGGAAAAAATCTAATTGTCTTAAACTTCATTCATAAACCCCTCTATTATTCTTATTTGGTAGTGGGTTAATGGGGTTTTGATGTAGATAAGCTGCATATGCAGAGGACACAGGCTAAAGCAACAGAAACCTCTAATTAATGGGATAAAAACATGTTTCAGTTCTTTAGCCTGTGACTGCACGTTATAGCCTGAAATGAAAGCACAGCCCCACTTTTTCCCTGGGTGCTTTCATCAGCTCAGACGTTCATTAGCTCTTAAAAATGTTGGAAAAAATCTAATTGTCTTAAACTTCATTCATAAACCCCTCTATTATTCTTATTTGGTAGTGGGTTAATGGGTTTTTGACCAGATAAGCTTGTTCTGAGCGGAATTTAGGGGTTTTTTACCAGATTTGGAATTCAAGCTGTGGTAGCAAAGCACAATTTTGTGACAGTAGTTGTGTGCAGCAGAAGCAAACACTGGCACAATGTTCACACCTCATTAGAGGGCAGCTGGGGAGGTGGTGGTGGTTAGTTTTATGCAGAAGTAGACAGAAGAAAATATCCAGAATATTTTTTTTTTAATTGCATGTATAAAAATTAGTCTTTTGCTAATTGCATGCAATATTACATCTAACATTTTTTTTTTCTCTGAGTCTGCATCAAAGTCCTAAATGAGGACTCTGAAGTTTTCTAAGCTATGAAAATAAATTGTAAATGCCTCATCTCAGCTTTTTTATAAGACCTGAGCCAAGACACAAGTGCTTGAGGAAGCAGTAAAACAGAACACAGGTGGGTTCAGCAAATCCCCCTTTGCTGCCGGGTTTCACAAACGCTCTCTTTTGGTTCCCTTTCATCGTTTCTCAGGTTCTTTGATTGAGGGTGTTTATGTCTCCACCTCAGCAGCCACTTTTTGTCTCCCACCCCTGAGGTGCCTTTCAGTGTCTCCTCCTGTCTGGTGTGAGGAGTCTCCATCGCACAGTGCCAGTTGCTCCTCTTCTTGCCTCTTCTGGATCCACCCGTAGGTGACTAAAATCCCACATTACTCCTGTGGGGTACCTGCTGCTGGGCCTGCGGTGCTCTTCCCAGAATGATGTGGGGTTGGAAGGGAGCTCTGGAGATCATCTCCTCCAACCCCCTGCCACAGCAGGGTCACCCACAGCAGGTCCCACAGGAACGTGTCCAGGGGGGTTTGGAATGTCTCCAGAGAAGGAGACTCCACCACCTCTCTGGGCAGCCTCTGCCAGGGCTCTGCCACCCTCACACCAAACAAGTTCTTCCTCATGTTGAGGTGGAACTTCCCATGTTCCAGTTTGTGCCCGTTCCCTCTTGTCCTGTCCCTGGGCACCACTGAGAAAAGCCTGGCCCCGTCCTCCTGACACCCACCCTTGAAGGATTTATAGGTGTTGATCAGATCCCCCCCTCAGTCTTCTCCAGACTCAAAAGACCTAAGTCCCTCAGCTTTTGAGGAACTCAACTCTCTTCAACCCACAGGAGATATCCAACATTGGAACAATGTGGGTTTTTTTTCACAATTCTGTGGTTCTCTGAAGTTTTGCTCCTCACTGTTTCTTTGGCTGGTGGGTGGTGACAAGGTGCCTCATTGCAGTGGCAGTACCTTTGGGATGACAAGGAGTTTGTGTTCAAGCAACTGGACTTGTTGGCATCAGCAGTGTGATGGAGCAGACAATGACTTGCATCATCAGGATGAGTCCTATAAGAGACCACAGTAGTCTAAGAATACACCCCTTGGCCTCTTTTGGCCAAGCTGTTGCATTTTAAATTGCAAGAAATAATTTCTTGCAGTTGTATTGGCAAGAGGTTGAGAACTGTTCTCTGAGAACTGATGAGAGCTCAAGTCCACCTGCCTGGTAGAGGTTTGCTCTTTACCCAGTGGCAAACCTGCTGAACACAGACCCAAACTTCTGCGAGACTTCGCTTAGGGACTGGGTCCTCTGAGGAGGAGGGTTGCATCTTCCCCTCCTCCTTCACCATGAGAGATCTTTTAAGCAGAGATGTAGGAACACCTCAGCTGTCTTGGAAGAGATAGAACCTCCCAATGGTCAAAAAGGGCTTGAGAAGACCCTGGTGGTGCTGAGCATTGCTGGGTGGATCTGGGTGGTGGTACTCCATAGAGCCCACAGGAACAGCCATTCTTCCACTGCTTATGTTTCTAGATATTTTATGGCTTCTTTAATCAAACTTAGCTACATGGCCCCCTGCATTTTAAATAGAAATATATCTTCTTTTATTGTAACTGAAGGTTTTCAGTCTCTGCTATTTACTTGTCTGCAAGCATGCTTGCTCACTCTAGCAGGTAAAATGAGTACCCTCTGCTTAGAAGTGTCTTAGATGTACAGTCTTAGATGTCCTCTGGTCAAGTTTCTGCAGTAAATTCACTTGGGAAGGTGGCAAATTGGTTCAAGGGTCCATGGCTTAGAATAAATATGCCTTGCAGAGATGAAGCTGCTTGCGGTGAAGGACTTCAGCTCAAAAGTTGGGTTTGAGATGGAAGGTGAAAGAGATGCAAACAGCAAACTTGCAGCTGATGCAATATCGCTTTCCTAGTGTGAATTTCTCTCTGTTATTGTGTATCTCCAGGGCTAAAGCCTAAGCACACTTTATTTGGTGTGGTGGTAGGACAATTTCACTCTAGTTATGGGACACCTTGTTTCTGGAGGTGTTGGGAATGCTCTGATGGTGTTTGGGAAAGGAACCCCTTGGTGAAAGGATAGGTGCTGGCTTGGGAACATTCCATAGAGGCTGCAGGCAGGGAGGAGGTGGAAAATGAGTGTCTGTATTTGTTTCTTACTACTGGCAAGTGTAAAGGTCTAAATATTAATAATAAGGTAGAAGAAAAATACAGTCTTGGAAGCTCTGTGTGTGTTGGGACTTGGAGCGAGGTGTGAGAGGAGCTGTGAAGATCAGCTCCTTGTTGTCAGTGATAAAACCCAGGAGCGTTGAGAAAACGGAGAGAGAGAGAGGTGGGAATGGGTTCAATGTTACATCCAAGTTAAAAAAAGTATAAAATCATGAGAAGAAAAGATGCAAGCTGGGATAGAGAAGGCACGTGGATGGATTAAGCGTGAGGGGATTCGTGGGCATCTTTAGATGGAAGAACAAATCACAGGAGGGGAGTTGTTACCAGTTTGTAACATGTCATTGTGGTCCGTAAACTGCTGGTTAATTGTGATTTTTCTCAAAAAAGAGAGTGACACACGTGAACCTGTCGCTGTTCTTAAAAGTATCTTCAAAGCTGGGGGACAAAAAGAGAGAGAAATGGGATATTCTACTGTATTAAAAATAGCCTGTGTTACTCAATAGTGGTTTTCTTCCTTTTTTTTTTAATAGATCCTAATTATCTGATGGCTAATGAACGCATGAACCTGATGAACATGGCGAAACTGAGCATCAAGGGGCTGATCGAGTCGGCGCTGAACCTGGGCAGGACGCTGGACTCGGACTACGCGCCTCTCCAGCAGTTCTTCGTTGTGATGGAACACTGCCTTAAACACGGCTTGAAAGGTGACCTTGCCCCAGAGGGGTCCCGTTTGTCATAGCCTAGGAGCAAGAAAGAGCAAATTTTGTTTTAAAAATTGCTTTGATGGCATGACTGGTGAGGCCTCACCTTGAGTACTGTGTCCAGTTTTGGGCTCCCTACCATAAAAAAGACATTGAGGTGCTGGAGCGGGTCCAGAGAAGGGCGACAAAGCTGGTGAGGGGTCTGGACCCCCTGCATTTTAAATAGAAATATATCTTCTTTTATTGTAACTGAAGGTTTTCAGTCTCTGCTATTTACTTGTCTGCAAGCATGCTTGCTCACTCTAGCAGGTAAAATGAGTACCCTCTGCTTAGAAGTGTCTTAGATGTACAGTCTTAGATGTCCTCTGGTCAAGTTTCTGCAGTAAATTCACTTGGGAAGGTGGCAAATTGGTTCAAGGGTCCATGGCTTAGAATAAATATGCCTTGCAGAGATGAAGCTGCTTGCGGTGAAGGACTTCAGCTCAAAAGTTGGGTTTGAGATGGAAGGTGAAAGAGATGCAAACAGCAAACTTGCAGCTGATGCAATATCGCTTTCCTAGTGTGAATTTCTCTCTGTTATTGTGTATCTCCAGGGCTAAAGCCTAAGCACACTTTATTTGGTGTGGTGGTAGGACAATTTCACTCTAGTTATGGGACACCTTGTTTCTGGAGGTGTTGGGAATGCTCTGATGGTGTTTGGGAAAGGAACCCCTTGGTGAAAGGATAGGTGCTGGCTTGGGAACATTCCATAGAGGCTGCAGGCAGGGAGGAGGTGGAAAATGAGTGTCTGTATTTGTTTCTTACTACTGGCAAGTGTAAAGGTCTAAATATTAATAATAAGGTAGAAGAAAAATACAGTCTTGGAAGCTCTGTGTGTGTTGGGACTTGGAGCGAGGTGTGAGAGGAGCTGTGAAGATCAGCTCCTTGTTGTCAGTGATAAAACCCAGGAGCGTTGAGAAAACGGAGAGAGAGAGAGGTGGGAATGGGTTCAATGTTACATCCAAGTTAAAAAAAGTATAAAATCATGAGAAGAAAAGATGCAAGCTGGGATAGAGAAGGCACGTGGATGGATTAAGCGTGAGGGGATTCGTGGGCATCTTTAGATGGAAGAACAAATCACAGGAGGGGAGTTGTTACCAGTTTGTAACATGTCATTGTGGTCCGTAAACTGCTGGTTAATTGTGATTTTTCTCAAAAAAGAGAGTGACACACGTGAACCTGTCGCTGTTCTTAAAAGTATCTTCAAAGCTGGGGGACAAAAAGAGAGAGAAATGGGATATTCTACTGTATTAAAAATAGCCTGTGTTACTCAATAGTGGTTTTCTTCCTTTTTTTTTTAATAGATCCTAATTATCTGATGGCTAATGAACGCATGAACCTGATGAACATGGCGAAACTGAGCATCAAGGGGCTGATCGAGTCGGCGCTGAACCTGGGCAGGACGCTGGACTCGGACTACGCGCCTCTCCAGCAGTTCTTCGTTGTGATGGAACACTGCCTTAAACACGGCTTGAAAGGTGACCTTGCCCCAGAGGGGTCCCGTTTGTCATAGCCTAGGAGCAAGAAAGAGCAAATTTTGTTTTAAAAATTGCTTTGATGGCATGACTGGTGAGGCCTCACCTTGAGTACTGTGTCCAGTTTTGGGCTCCCTACCATAAAAAAGACATTGAGGTGCTGGAGCGGGTCCAGAGAAGGGCGACAAAGCTGGTGAGGGGTCTGGAGAATAAGTCTTATGAGGAGAGGCTGAGGGAGCTGGGGGTGTTCAGCCTGGAGAAAAGGAGGCTGAGGGGAGACCTTATTGCTCTCTCCAACTCCCTGAAAGGAGGGTGTAGAGAGGTGGGGGTCGGTCTCTTTTCTCAAGTCCCAGGCGACAGGACAAGAGGAAATGGCCTCAAGTTGCGCCAGGGGAGGTTCAGGCTGGATATTAGGAAAAATTTTTTCATTGAAAGGGTTCTCAGGCATTGGAATGGGCTGCCCAGGGAGGTGGTTGAGGCCCCATCCCTGGAGGTGTTCAAAAGACAGGTTGATGTAGTGCTGGGAGGTCTGGTTTAGTGATGATGCTCCTTGTTTGTTGTGTGGGTGTCTATTTTTGTCAGTTGGGTTGACGGTTGGACAAGATGATCTTTGAGGTCCCTTCCAACCTAGAAAATTCTGTGATTCTGTGATTCTGACTGGTTGGATAGATGAGGGAAAGGTGGTGGATGTTGTCCACCTTGACTTCAGCAAGGCTTCGGACACAGCCTCCCACAGCATCCTCCTAGGTGAGCTTAGGAAGTGTGGATTAAAGGAATGGACAGTGAGGTGGATTGGAAACTGGCTGAAGGGCAGAGCTCAGAGAGTTGTTATTAGGGGCACAGAATCTAGTTGGAGGTCTGTAACAAGTGGAGTTCCCCAGGGGTCAGTACTGGGTCCAGTTCTCTTCAATATATTCATCAATGACCTGGACGAAGGGATGTAACGTACCCTCAGCAAGTTTGCTGGTGATACACAACTGGGAGGGGTGGCTGGCACAGCAGAAGGCTGTGCCACCATCCAGAGAGGACACAGCCTCCCACAGCATCCTTCTAGGTGAGCTAAGGAAGTGTGGATTAAAGGAATGGACAGTGAGGTGGATTGGAAACTGGCTGAAGGACAGAGCTCAGAGAGTTGTTATTAGGGGCACAGAATCTAGTTGGAGGTCTGTAACAAGTGGAGTTCCCCAGTGGTCAGTACTGGGTCCAGTCTTCTTCAATACATTCATCAATGACCTGGATGAAGGGATGGAATGTACCCTCAGCAAGTTTGCTGATGATACACAACTGGGAGGGGTGGCTGACACAGCAGAAGGCTGTGCCACCATCCAGAGAGACCTGGACAGGCTGGAGAGTTGGGCAGAGAGGAACCTGATGAACTTCAATAAAGGCAAGTGAGGGTGCTGCACCTGGGGAGAAATAACCCCCTGCACCAGGACAGGTTGGGGCTGACCTGCTGGAGAGCAGCTCTGAGGAGAAAGACCTGGGAGTCCTGGTGGACAACAGGATGGCCATGAGCCAGCAATGGGCCCTGGTGGCCAAGAAGGCCAAGGGCATCCTGGGGGGCATCAGGAAGAGGGTGAGCAGCAGGTGGAGGGAGGTCATCCTGCCCCTCTGCTCTGCCCTGGGGAGGCCCCATCTGGAGCACTGGGACCAGTTCTGAGCTCCCCAGTTCCAGAAGGACAGGGAGCTGCTGGAGAGGGTAAGAAGTTCCATCTGAACATGAGGAGGAACTTGTTTGCTGTGAGGGTGGCAGAGCCCTGGCAGAGGCTGCCCAGAGAGGTGGTGGAGTCTCCTTCTCTGGAGACATTCCAAACCCACCTGGACACGTTCCTGTGGGACCTGCTGTGGGTGACCCTGCTGTGGCAGGGGGTCAGAGGAGATGATCTCCAACCCCATGTTATTCTTTAATTAGAGTTTTAAAAAGGTAAAGTAGGGTAAAGAGAGGCTGAGCAAGGTCATAGTTGACTTGACAGGCTGCAGGAAGGGAAAAAAATCTGCTGAAGGCATAACTGCAGGAGAAGAGGTGACAGTTGTTGCAGGTTTTGGCCATTTTTTAAACAGCTTTTGAGATGACTGGAGTACAGCGAAGGGAGCAGTGATAAAATGAGCTGCTTGGCCAACTTGTGACCCCCTTCTTTTCTGCACTCCCTCAGGCTCTAGGGAGCCAACGGGCCTCTTGGTGGAAGAGGAGCTGCAACACAGAGGTCCTCTCTCAGTAGTTCTGTCAGACCTGAGGGGTTTGGCTTTTCATGGCTAACAGCTTGAAAGCTGCTTTGGAAAATAGCAAGCAGAGGGTATATTTAGCTGCAATACAGAGTCACAGCTAAAATACCCAAGCAGCAGACCGCCTGGAGAAGCCCCCAGGAGCTCTGGAGAAGGAGTGGGCTCAGTGGTGTGGTCCTTTTCCTTCTAAGGGGATGCTCAGTGAGAGAAAATTACCCTGCGCACACCAAGTATGACCTGGGGGCAGTGACAACATCCTGGTGGGAACGTGGACCTCTGGCAGTGAATCCAAGTTGCTGGTTATCACCAAAAGTTGTTGTTTTGGCATATTGGGGATGGGTGGAATATTTTCTGGCTTCTGTCTCCATCTCCCGTTGCCTTGTTTGAATGATACCAGCAATTGGCACACTCGGGTGGAAAAAGTCAGCTTGTGTCCTTCCCCAGCAGCAACCCCAGAAGAACCTCTGGGGCTGTTTTTCTCTGCTGTTCTTATACTTCTGACCACGCTTGAGGATGCATTTAGTCAGCACTAACAGGCTCGTTTTACATCTTTCTCTTTTCCAGCCAAAAAGACTTTCCTTGGGCAAAATAAATCCTTTTGGGGACCTCTGGAACTCGTAGAAAAGCTTGTTCCTGAAGCTGCAGAAATTACAGCGAGCGTTAAGGATCTCCCAGGGCTGAAGTAAGTACAGGCTTTTACTGCACAAATGCATCACGTGGTGGTTACTGTAAGAAGGATCCTGTGGAAGAGAAGGAAGGGCAAATGTAGCCTTCAGAAATATATCTGCCACCTTCTGCTGATAAAAATGGATCATTAGTCTGTTTTTATTCTTAATCAAGTGCAGGAGGAGAGGACAGGATATATTCTTCCTCTGCTAAGAGCATGGGGTGTTAGGGACCACACTGCATTTATTGCTAGTGCTAAATGAGAGAGGGTGTCTCGGGAAGGGGATTGGCCTTTACAGACTCTCCTTAAATAAAAGGGTAAATAGTTTTAAGGCTGATAGACAGAGGTGATTTTTCTTTTCAATAAACGCAGGCAAACTTGTCAAGTTTGTGTAAAAGGGAGGCTCGGTCACAAAGTTGGAGATCTTACTTATGTTAGAGGAGAGGAAAAACCCACTCAAAGCGTGTATTGCTTTTAAAAATTTCAGAGTCATTTCAGACATCTCGTTCAGGTTTTCTTATTCCTGGCTAAAGAAAACCGTAAGAGGCTTTAGAGCCTGGGGAACAGGGAACTACTGCTGGAAACTGGACACTTCTACTGGGTCCAGTTCTGGGCTCCCCAGTTCCAGAAGGACAGGGAACTGCTGGAGAGGGAACAGCAGAGGCTACAAAGATGGTGAAGGGCCTGGAGCATCTCTCTTAGGAGGAAAGGCTGAGGGACTTGGGTCTGTTTAGTCTGGAGAAGAGAAGGCTGAGGGGGGATTTGATCAATGCCTATAAAATCCTTCAAGGGTGGGTGTCAGGAGGATGGGGCCAGGCTTTTCTCAGTGGTGCCCAGGGACAGGACAAGAGGGAACGGGCACAATCTGGAACATGGGAAGTTCCACCTCATCATGAGGAGGAACTTGTTTGGTGTGAGGGTGGCAGAGCCCTGGCAGAGGCTGCCCAGAGAGGTGGTGGAGTCTCCTTCTCTGGAGACATTCCAAACCCCCCTGGACCCGTTCCTGTGGGACCTGCTGTGGGTGACCCTGCTGTGGCAGGGGGTTGGAGGAGATGATCTCCAGAGGTCCCTTCCAACCCCACATCACTGTGAGTCTGGGATTAGTGATTAGCGATGTACAAGTGCTAGTACTGGAGATGTGTGGAGGAGAACTCCTGGAGCAGCTTACAGGACCAGAATGGAGTGTCACCAGCGTTGAGCCAGAGCTCCTGTTACCTTCTCCTGTTGTAAAAGAATATTGAAACATGAAATACATTGAAATTAACAATTTTAGAATAAGTTTCTGAGCCTCGGCTTGGTGTTCATGCTAACCCTTGGGAGATGCCACATGTTAGTGAGGTCAAGAGCAGGGAATAACGGAGATGACTTTGAAGGGCAGCTGCTGCTGGTACCAGTTAAGGTCAGAAAACCCAACGCCCCACGTAGTGTTTGGTGTAAGGGAGCTCACAGGCTGCTGGAGAGGGAAAGAGATTCCCTTCTGCTGGGAATACTGTTCCACACGGGGGGATTTACACCTTCCTTCGGAGCGTCTGGTGCTGGCTCCCGGCCAGGCAGGATGAGCCGCGGCCGCGATGCAGCGCATCAGTCAGTGCATTTTCCAAGCTGTGGGAGTTTTGGGATTGCCAGGAGAAACAGAGGAGGGGGAAGGACCAACACCGTAACCCCTTCCCTCCCAGCAGTGCCTTCATGGGTGTTCTGACTTCTCTTATGCAAAAAAAACTGGTTTTGGGGTGAGAAGTTGAGGTGTTGAAGCACCCGATCTCTGTGCATCCAGCAGGGGTAAAGTCAGGGAAATACTATTAGTAAAACAAATTAGTCATGAGAGAGGCAGTGATTGCTTAGATCACAGAATCACAGAATCTTCTAGGTTGGAAGGGACCTCAAAGATCATCTTGTCCAACCATCAACCCAACTGACAAAAATAGACACCCGCACAACAAACAAGGAGCATCACCATCACTAAACCATACCTCCCAGCACTACATCAACCTGTCTTTTGAACACCTCCAGGGATGGGGCCTCAACCACCTCCCTGGGCAGCCTATAAATATCTATCTATCTATATAGATAAACTCGCCTGTAACTATTTGTACTTAAATACTGTGTATTTCCCTGTTTTACCAGTGCCAGCTGTATCTTTGAGACATGGAAACTTTGGCTGGAGGAGGGTTATGAGGGCTGTGTGGGGGTGTGAGGTGCAGCATGTTTCTTAACTGGTTTGTCTCTGGCCTTTGCAGGACGCCCGTGGGGAGAGGAAGAGCTTGGCTGCGCCTGGCTCTGATGCAGAAGACAGATAAACTCACCTGTAACTATTTGCACTTAAATACCGTGTATTTCCCTGTTTTACCAGTGCCAGCTGTATCTTTGAGACATGGAAACTTTGGCTGGAGGAGGGTTATGAGGGCTGTGTGGGGGTGTGAGGTGCAGCATGTTTCTTAACTGGTTTGTCTCTGGCCTTTGCAGGACGCCCGTGGGGAGAGGAAGAGCTTGGCTGCGCCTGGCTCTGATGCAGAAGAAACTTTCAGAGTACATGAAGGCCTTGATCAACAGGAAGGATCTTCTCAGGTGAGCCCAACAGTGCTACAGTGAACAACCTCCAGGCCAAGGTGGATGCCTTGGAAAAATCCAACACCAAACTGACCGAGGAGGTGAGTGTCACAGAAAATAATCTGATGTGTTGGCATCAGGGGTTGAAAAGGTACGGGAGGAGCTATTTTGGGATTTCTGGTGTGTGGAATGATCAGTGTTTACTGATGGAACTGGAATAACCGACCTGCCAGGGAATTACACTGGCGGCTCCTTCTGCCTAAGCATGAGGTGGAAAAAAACCCCAATGGTTGTGTTAAAAACCAAAAGCTGCTGAACACACTTGATCCCTCTGAAATCTCAGAGCGCTTTCTGATTTCTGGGAAGTATCTTGGAATAAATGGTACAGTGGGTACCGTCTCAAATGCTGAGCAGCTGATGTAGGTTATGAGATGGCCAGACAGGACATGTTTCTAAATGTCTGTTTTGACAGATGCAAAAGTTTACTATGATGTAGATGCAGTAAGATAACTTGTTTCTTCAGTTTACAAGAAATAAAGCAGAAAATTATCATTATAGATAAAATGTCGTTCAGTCTGAGCATGAGAAATGGTTGGTACGTGCATCAGAGCTGTAACTGCATTTTAAAATTGGTTCATTAATAACGCCATAAATGGAATAAAATCTTTTGGAGTGAGTTCCCTGCCAAATGGGTGATGGTAGGTCTCACCCTAATGGTTTTACAGTCTGTCTGTGTGTCACTTAGCAGAGTGGTTTTGACTGGGGTGGCTTGGTGCTCCTGCAGCACAAATATGAAATAGAAATTCCTTTTTGCTTGTTCCCCCTCATGAAGGGAGGTCTCTGGGTCTGGTTATTGAGCGTTGACTCCAATGGATGTGCTCCAAATGATGCAGAGCATTAGCAATGGAGATTAGTTTATCCCCTCCTGCAGTTAAGGAGTAAGAAATGTTTTTTACAATTAAAATGTTTATTTTAAAAAGGTGGTCTGCAGTAGAGGCTGCCTCTCTCAGCGCTGCTATAAGTGGCTTTTGATTTATTCCCTGCAGAGTGTGAGTGCTGTGCCCATTTAGACACAATATTAATTGCAGTGTTGGATTGAAGTGGTTTTTTTAATTTTTTACTACTTGCTTGTGCCTCAGTGAATCCTGCAGGAGTTTCAGAGCAGGGCTCTGGGTGACACTGTGCCAGGCTGGGCTGTCTGTGGGGCACAGTTAACAAACTGTGGCACATGTCACACCAATTTGCACATTTGGCTTGAGCTGTGCCAAAAACTCACACTTTTATGGGGGTACTTTATATTTGGGTTTGTCACTTGGTAACACTGTGACCTCCTGGAATGTCACTGAGCTTTGCTCGTGCACAGGGCTTAATGCAAGTCAGGCTGTACAAAGCCAGAAGGAGTTTTCCAAAATTATTTTGGCCTTTGCCTGCTCACTCTGAGTAATCTGGGAGGCTGCGGTGATGTCTTCCCTGGGAACTCCTCGGAGGCAGATGTCCCATCTCCTCAGGGTGGGACATACTTCTCCTCCCTTCCCAGCCACATCTTCCTCCTCTGGTGAGGTTCTCCTCCTGCCCAAATGAGCATCTTACACCTGAGGTGCCCTCCCCAGCACTTCACCCAAACTACCGAAGCTTTAGCAAACCCCTGCGAGAGTTTCTTCTCTGGTAATAAATTCCACCAGCTCAAACTCAACAAACTCCTTTTTGTTCCCTTTGGGAAGGGAAGGGGAACGGGGCGAGGAGTTCTGTTGAGCTGCACTAACGTGTTACACAGAGTCTGGCAGGCAGAGACCTGGAGAAGTCGATGATTTTAGTGAAATACAGGCACCAAAATAGGTTGGAAATTCTCTGGTTTAGGTGATAGTGGAAATCCATCCCGCTGGCACTAATTGATGCTTTCTCAGAGAGCCTATCTCCATGGGAGAGGCCAAATTGTCCTTTAGCACACCAAATACTTTTTTTTTTTCTCACTTTGAGTGTAAAAAATGAGTACAGAAATCTGGAGAAAACAAAAAAGAAATGTGGAGTGTGGTTTTGGTACGTTACTGTTGTTGTGGTTTGTTCACAGCTTGCAGTTGCAAACAACAGGATTATTACACTGCAAGAAGAGATGGAACGGGTTAAAGAAGAAAGTTCTTACATCCTAGAGTCCAATCGGAAGGTGGGTGGGTGTGGGGGTGTGTGTGTGAGGGTGTGTGGGTGTGAGTGACCACTGAACCTTCAGGCAGTCCCAGCCCCAGTCCCACCAAGAAGTAGCTGTTTGGAAGAGACTTTTATTTCCTTGTTGTTGGGAGGGAGGATTTACTGAGGGGGTGGCACAAACATTTGGACGTAGGAGTTCTGCTTTTTCAGCCTGAAATGCTGGCCTTTTTGGAAATCAAAGGGCAGGATCTACATGTTTTTGGTTGATTTGGTTGGACTAGATGACCTTCAATGGTTCCATCCAACCCAACGCATTCTATGATTTATTGAAAGTGCTGGTAACTATGGCAGAATCTAGTTTTTAGTTCTAAAGATCCTTTCCTGAGGTTTTGTAACCATACTTAGAATATTGTGAAAGTCCTGAAAATGCAGAGTTTGTGTCTTTAGCTCCTAGAAGTGAAGTGGGGAGCAGGGAGACAGAGCCATTTCTGCATGTGGTCACTGCATGGAGCTCTGAGTTTTGATAGTCACAGAATTTGTTTTCAAAGTGGTGGGAAAAGCAAATAATGGGCAAATGTGAGGGTTAGTAGTATATATTGACGGGTTAATTAAGTGTCTTCATTACCTTAGGCCACTAAAGACAGAACTGCTGATGGACAGGCACTGACCGAGGCGCGGAAACAGTTGAAGGAGGAGACTCAGCTGCGGCTGGTAAGGGCTGTCTGAGCTCAGAGCTCACCACAACTGGCTTTTTGGTGTCATAACTCCATATCAGAAAATCGCTTTTTAAAACATTTGCCCAGGGAAATGAAATGTTTTTAGGGAATAAAAAGTCTGCCAGCTTTTCCCTGGTCTCCCCCCACTCCATCAGACAGATGGGCCTATATTGTACTTTCTGCTGTTTATGTTGCTGGAATATTGGATGGAAAATGGGGATTTGTTGTCTTTAATCACCTTTGATGGGTCAGATCCTTCGCTGCGGCTGTGCAGCGTGGCTCTAGGTGGTGGTTGTCCTGGGGAGGGTGAGGAAAGCTGGCTGGTAACGCCGGCCCATCCGGGTGTTCCAGGACGTGGAGAAGGAGCTGGAGGTGCAGATCGGGATGCGACAGGAGATGGAGCTGGCCATGAAGATGTTGGAGAAAGATGTTTGCGAGAAGCAAGACGCGCTGGTGGCGCTCAGGCAGCAGCTGGATGATCTCAGGGCCCTAAAGCATGAACTGTCTTTCAAGCTGCAGGTAGGGAAGAATTCCATGAAATGTGGTGAATTCCAGGTAGAAGCAATAACTCCTGTTCTTTTTTCCCCCCCCCCCATCTCTTTAAAAGGGACTGGGAATGGGAGGGTTTTGGGTTGTGTAGCATTCTTTGGTCTCACTGCCAGGAAGATGTAACACATGAACAATTGAATGTGCTGGGGGTTAAAGAAAAATGCCATTTCCTCTGAGGAAGGACCCAGGATGATCCAGAAATGGGTGTGTTTGACCAGGAAAAGCATCTTCTGTGGTTTTGTGGTATAAAAACTGAGCCGTGGGAGCTTCTGTTCCAGCACAGTGTGGTGTTTGAAGGTGTGTGGTGTCGTTAGGTGCGTTATTGTGTGGTGACAAAAGACTTTTAAGACAAAGAGCAATGCAAAAAGCTCCGAAAGACACTCTAAAATAGACTTCAGAACAGGAAAACGTTGCCTCTGCTCTGCTTGAGCCAACCCTTCTGAGCAAAACAGTTGAATTATACAAACAGATGTTGCTTTAATATGTATTATATGGGAAACTTCATTGACTCTGGTACTGCCTTTTTGTGGGGTCCAGCCATAGCCTGCACCTGTAGGGCAGGGTCTTTGTCCTCACATTATTGACCTGGCCTTTGCTTTCTGAGCACCTTCTCCTGCCTCCTTGGCTCCTGCCCCTTTGGCTTCATGTGCCACACAGCATCACAGAATGATGTGGGGTTGGAAGGGACCTCTGGAGATCATCTCCTCCAACCCCCTGCCACAGCAGGGGCACCCACAGCAGGTCCCACAGGAACGTGTCCAGGAGGGTTTGGAATGTCTCCAGAGAAGGAGACTCCACCACCTCTCTGGGCAGCCTCTGCCAGGGCTCTGCCACCCTCACACCAAACAAGTTCTTCCTCATGTTCAGATGGAACTTCCCATGTTCCAGTTTGTGCCCGTTCCCTCTTGTCCTGTCCCTGGGCACCACTGAGAAAAGCCTGGCCCCATCCTCCTGACACCCACCCTTGAAGGATTTATAGGTGTTGATCAGATCCCCCCTCAGTCTGCTCTCCCACTTAAAAAAACTCCACAATGCTCCTTTTTTCCAGAGTTCAGACATGGGACTTACAAAACCCCTATGATGCTCCTTTTTTCCAGAGTTCAGACATGGGAGTGAAACAGAAGAGTGAATTAAACAGCCGTTTGGAAGAGAAAACAAATCAGATGGCTGCCACCATCAAACAGCTTGAACAAAGGTAAAGAATGAAACTCTTACTGTTATAAAGTCACATGTGTGTTCCAGTGGTGGTGTCCTGCTGAGCCTGGCTGGGGGACACGAGAGCCCCAGAGCACTGCTCAGCTGCTGCTCGAGAGCTAGAGTTCTTGAGGTGATGTTAGAAGTGTTGTGCACGCTCAGGAGGGCTTCTGTTAGAAAGTGAGATACTGCTAATGCAGTAATTAATGTAGCAGCTTCATTTATACACATCAGCTGTGCTGTGTGTTACCCAGTCATTACAAGTCCAGGCCTATCTCTGACAGCACTGGGAAAAATGGAAATACAAACATTCCACACGGAATCATAGAATTGTCCAGTTGGAAGGGAGCTTCCAGGTCGAGTCCAACCATCAACCCAACACTGACAAACCCATCACTAACCCATGTCCCTCAGCACCACGTCTGCCCGGCTTTTAAATCCCTCCAGGGATGGGGACTCCACCACTGCCCTGGGCAGCCCATTCCAAGGCTTCATAACCCTTTCTGTGTAGAAATTGTTCCTAATATCCATTCTAAACCTCCCCTGGTGCAACTTGAGGCCGATTCCTCTTGTCCCATCACCTGTTCCTTGGGAGAAGAGACCAACCCCCCCAGCTATACTCTCCTTTCAGGGAGTTGGGGAGAGTGAGAAGGTCTCCCCTCAGCCTAAACATCTCTGGTAACATCAGTAACATCTCTGGTACCATTTTGAAAAAAAAAACCCAATTGAAGCCTTCTCCTGATGACCAGCCATGTGCTTTCTGAGGGAGATGAACCTCTTGGCGTGAAAGTAAACAGAGGAAGATGAGGGGCAGCCTGGCTGTCGCAGATGAAGGCAGTCCAAAGGGCTGGGCTGGGCCAAGTTCCAGCCTAATGGCCACGTTGGCTCACGTTATTGACCTTTGGCATCGCAGAAGGGTTGATTTTCCCCCTTAGTCTTGTTCTGGAAGCCAAGGCTTGTGGTGGTTTGGCCAAATAGCTCAGGAGCTGAGTCTCTGGGAATTGCCTTGGCTGTCGTGTGAGCTCCCAGAAAACCAGAGCACGGCCAGTGCACTAAATTAACCCTCTTGGTTTAGGTTTTATATTCTGTACAATTCTTTATGAAAAAGGTCATTTTGTTTATAGAAAAATCTGTATTTTAACATGCTGTATGATCTCTCCTCAGCTAATTGTTTTGCTCTTTTTCTCCGTAGAAAATCTGTATTTTAACATGTTGTATGATCTTTCCTCAGCTAATTGTTTTGCTCTTTTTCTCCTGCTGTTCTTATTTTTCCATCTTTTATTTTTTTTTCCCATCATCCTCATTCTGATTTCCTTCATAACAGTGAAAAGGATTTGGTGAAACAGGCAAAAACCTTAAATAGCGCAGCAAACAAACTGATCCAGAAGCACCATTAGACATTTTTTGTGTCAGGTCGCCTCACAGCTCTGACATCAGAACTCATTTATGAGGGGAGAACTTGAGAATTGCTAAAAGCAACTGTTAAAATGTTAATTGTCACCTAAAGTTGATTTGGAATTTGCTGAATTTTTAAAACCAGTGAGTTTGGTTGGGTTTTTTTTTTTTCTTCGGAGATTTAGAGTCGGGTATGAAAATCCCTAACTTTGCCATTTAAGCTGTGTTAAAGAACTGATGAGTTGGCCAGTAAAGACCCCAGAAAAGTGTTCAGGAGTGGCAGAGACGTGGTTCTGTCCATCCCTGGGACACAAACCTCCTCTGGCAGCACCCATCTCCAACATTCCTGGAGAGTCGGTGCCTTGGCCGAGCCAGTGGCAGGTTGGCCAGCTCTGGAAAGTCAACTAGTTTTTCTGTGTTGCCCTTTTTTTTGTGAAGTAGACTCGGGGGGGAAAAAAAAATACTAATGCAGTCCCTGGAAGTTGTTGCAAGTAGTTGTGTGCGTTCCCCAAGCCCTTCCCAACCTCTTCATTTCTGTTCCATGGGGTCCTGGAGCCACCCCAGAGCCAGGACTTGGTGGCTCGTGGCCACAAAGACCAGCCTTCTCCTAATTTGCCTTTGTGACCTGGTGGGAGGCTGGGGAATTCTGACTTATCCTTATTCCTTTAAACTTCATGTGTCCAGAATTAGTGGGTAGGTGTTAGAGTAACAGGATAGAGTGGTGAGTTCAGTGGAAACCTCCTTAACCTTCGCATCGCCTTCTACCTCCACCATCCCTCCCTCCTACACACACCTCGTGGGTCTTCCCCACCGAAGGAAGCCCAGGAGAGGTGCTTCAGGAGGTCCCACCTCTTCCTGGAAAGGGAAGATAGGTTCTACAACCAAGAATCTGATCTTTATACTCTAGTGCTAAAAAAAATATGAATAAGAAAGGACCAAGAGGTGCAGTGGTGGGGAGTCATTTGGTGCTTGAGCCTTCCTCCTCCCAGCAGCCCCTGGTTTGAAAGGAGGAGTTGCCTTTAACCGTCCCGCTCCTTTCCTTCGCTTCCCAGTTTCCCTTGCTGGGTGCAAATGGGATTTGCTGAGGAAAGAACAGCTAAAGCTCGGAAACAGCTCCAAATAGGAAAAAATAATTCCCAATTTAACACCCCAGTGCAAAACTTTTAAGTAACTGTAGCTTGGACTATGATAAACCAATACCCTCTTCCCCGTGGCCGCCCACAGGGTCTGGGCTGTCCCAGGCGTTGGGCTGTGAGCGCTCCTAGGGATTTATATCCCTTTTTTTCTTTCAAGAAGATGACATTTGGGGGAGTTTCCGTGTGGAATATTTTTGCTCTGGGGTGAGACACCCCTAGAAATTCTTTGGTGCCAGTTCTCCCTTTGCACTCCCTGGGGCAGCGGGTGGCAAACGTGACTGGAAGGGCAGCTGGGGAAGGACCACCTGTTGATTCTCACTTAATCCTTCAACTTTCAAAATCCTGGGGGGGCTCAGTTTGCCCCCCCCAAGCTCCTCCCGCAGACCCCCCCACACAAGCAGACTTGGAGACCCCTTTTAAACCTCCACGCGGTGCCCAAGTCGCATGCTCCAGAGTATAAACTTTAATAACCTTCAATAACCTTCTACTAGAAAACTCATTTTAACCACCAGGAAAAAATAAAATAATAGTAGGAAGGCGGAAGCTTTCATTGAGGCATCCAAATAGCTAATTAGAGCAGTTAATTCCCCCGCCCCCTCCCCGGCTGGCTGCTGGAGGGAGAGGGGTCGGGCTGGCTTTGTGTGCTCTCCCAGGAAGGCTGAAATCAGAGAAAATTGAGAATTTGGCCCTTCTCGGGGCCGGGCTCCGCAGAAGGAGCAGGAGGAGGAACTGATTGTGGATCTAGTGGCTTAACCTCCCTGGCAAGTCCCAGTTCCGCGTGTAAAGCTGAAATGTAACCTACATTAAAATCCAATTGGACTTGAAATTCTGTGTACTTGAGGTTTGCTTTGAATCTGGATAAAAGTGATGTTTTCTGTTTTTCATCCTAATGGCTGTAAACCGTAGTAATAGAATAAAAACTGTTGAAAATCAGAGCTTCTGCCTGGTTCACCTACATCTTACTTTTCTTTCAAAGATTTTCCTCCTTTCCATTGTTTTTACCATTCCTTTATTTTTGACTTTACCTTTTCACTGGGTTTGTTTTTTTTGGTTTTTTTTATTTATTTATTTTACTTTATTAATTTGTTGCTTAAACTCGGTCTTCCTCCCCACCATGGCTTTTGTTTTTTATCACAAGTTCATGTGGCTCAAATCCAGATTGCGGCAGGCGGAGAAGGACCGGCAGTTGGCCCAGCAGGACAACCGTCTCTTCAAGCAGGAGTTTGGGGACAAAATCAACAGCCTCCAGCTGGAAGTGGAAGAGCTCTCCAGGCAGCGGTGAAGAGATCTTTTGCTAATCTATTTTTTTTTCCCCCCCTCTCTATTTTTCTGTTTCTAATCTAGGGCCGTGTTGATTTGTGTCTAGTAGAAAGCAGTAGGAGGTGGAGAGGGAGAGGGCCAAGTGGCATTTGAGATGCCAGGGAGGCGTGAAATGCTTCCTGAAGTGGCAGATTTTTTCTTTAAAGTTGCAACTCAAAAAATCAGGTTGGAAGAAAAAGGGAACGAACTGCGTGGTCGGGAGAAACCGCCAGCAAAAGCACAACTCTTCTGTGGGGGTGGGAGATCAGGAGCAGGCTGCAGAACATCTCTTGGGTGGAGATGAAGTGTCGGGATGTGTCCGTGGGGGGTTTCTGCACCATGGTTGGATTTGTTGGGTGATAACCTTCTCTTTTGGAAACCTGCAGAGCTAGGGATGTGGGACGGAGACCACCACGAGCTGGAAAAGCTAGGTAGATCCTGAGGTTGCCTTGTGGCTTAGCCTGGAGTGAGAGGGGGCTGGATGTGCTTCAAAGAGCAGTCAGGTCTCTGGTGGCAACGTAGACCTCTCCAAAGTCTCTTGTTGCTCAGACTTTTCCATTGTAATAGCATCATTTGGAATCTAAAGCTAAAACACTCAAGAGTTTGGAGCAAGGGACATCGGTCTGGCCAACTGTGATTTTGAGTTCTGTTTTCCAGCTGCAACTGGTCTCAGTTTTGCTGGGAGGCAACCATTTTGGAAACCTGCAGAGCTAGGGATGTGGGACGGAGACCACCACGAGCTGGAAAAGCTAGGTAGATCCTGAGGTTGCCTTGTGGCTTAGCCTGGAGTGAGAGGGGGCTGGATGTGCTTCAAAGAGCAGTCAGGTCTCTGGTGGCAACGTAGACCTCTCCAAAGTCTCTTGTTGCTCAGACTTTTCCATTGTAATAGCATCATTTGGAATCTAAAGCTAAAACACTCAAGAGTTTGGAGCAAGGGACATCGGTCTGGCCAACTGTGATTTTGAGTTCTGTTTTCCAGCTGCAACTGGTCTCAGTTTTGCTGGGAGGCAACCAGAAGGTTGGAAACCAAATGTAGAGAGCTTGGCGAGAGCTGTCCCCCTGTGGTGTCATGGGTTTGCTGCTGTCAGGAAAACAGAGAAAATCCTCTTATCTGAAAAGAGCAGAGTGTCTCCCCCTCGGCAGCTTCTGCGTGTTGCAAGGTCACTGGGTTGGATGGTGTGGAAGCGTTGCTGGATGCAGCTTTTCATTTTGTCCTCTCCTCCCCTCCTGGCACAGTGTTTTGTATCATTCTGTTAAAAAAAAAAAATGTGACAGAGGGTGCCCACAAAGCCAGGAAATGGCTTTTATCAGGAATTCGTAGGAGATCCTGGGCCTGAGCTCTCTCTGTTCTTGGGTATAGAAGGTCTGGGGAATGTGTTTCTCTGCGTGTGCTCCTCACCCCCAGGCAGATGAACTTAGTGCAGCTCCATGAGATTTGCAGATTGCTCTGGTTTTGCATCAGTTGGACCCTTCCTGATCCTTTCCTCGCTCGAGCTAAATCAGGAGGAGGGTATGAAAAGGATGGAGCCTCCTTTCCTGGGAGGCTGAGCTGCTTTATCAACTTCAGTTTATTCCTGGATTTCTAAAGGAATGAGTTGTTGGGTGCTGCACTGGCTGGTGGGTAGCTTTTCTGGAGTTGTCTTCCTTTTCTGGAGTTGTCTTCCTTTTCTGGAGTCGTCTTCCTTTAAGAGGAAATGGGGCTTTTTGTGTTTGTGCCGTTTTTAAATCACGTTATAAACAAGAATTCCCTGAGGTGGTTGGGTTTTTTTCAATGTCAGCGCGGGCGAGGAGTCATTTCTGGATGTGAGTCTCCAGCAGCTTTACTGGCTTCAGTCAGGCTGTGTAATTAATGAGGCTGGAGTCATAACGAGCTATTTAAAAAAACCGTTGGAGCGGTCCAGAGGCTAACGAGGGTAATAACGGATCGTGTTGGTTTTAATGACAATGAGGATTCTGAAAATGGTCCAAGTCCTGGCACTGCTTTCACAGCAGATACTCAGTTTCTAGGCTTTGGTTTTGGAGCAGGGGTGGTTCCCTCTGGCAGTTCCCATATTTTGTTGATTATTGATTGATTTTGGCAAACGAGGAGGTGTTTCTGGCGCTTCGGTCCCTGCTGGTCCATGTGCTCCAAGAGCTCAGTGGTTGTTGGGCACAGGAGGTGCAGTTCCTGGAGGTGTGGAGCTTTCTGGTGCCCCAGAGTAAAGGGTCTGAGATCCACAGATCTGGAGTGGTGCTGCATCAAGGACCTCTGATGGCCTTGTTCATCTCTCCTTAGTTGTCCTCCTGAATTTCCATCTGCTGCACTCAGCTGTGTCCTTGTTCTGTGTGGCTCGATGCACCACAGCAGGCACCGTGTGGGGCTGGCCCAAAAGCCTTGGTGGCAGGACCAGTGGCCCGACTGCTCAGTGGTCTTGAAGGAGCATCTGCCATACCTTCGTTAGAGGCTGGGCTGGAGTTGATGATGGTCCATAAAAGGGCGTATGTGTCCTATTTTCACCCCTTTGGGCTCACCTCTCCTATCCCAGCCCACGTACTGACCTGCTCCTGTGCTGTTGCTCAACCAAGGGCAGTAGCAGAGCAGGTTCTCCTGCTGGAGAGGAGACCTTGGTTGCTCCACGAGGACCAAGCCCTGCTTCCAGGTGAGGTGTCTGAACACCAAGAGCAGTAGCAGAGCAGGCTCTCCTGTTGGAGAGGAACCCTTGGTTGCTCCACAAGGACCAAGCCCTCTTCCAGGTGAGGTGTCGGAACACCAAGGGCAGTAGCAGAGCAGGCTCTCCTGGAGAGGAACCCTTGGTTGCTCCACAAGGACCTAGCCCTGTTTCCAGGTGAGGTGTCGGAACACCAAGGGCAGTAGCAGAGCAGGCTCTCCTGTTGGAGAGGAGCCCTCGGTTGCTCCACAAGGACCTAGCCCTGTCTCCAGGTGAGGTGTCAGAATACCAAGAGCAGTAGCAGAGCAGGCTGTCCTTGGTTGCTCCACAAGGACCAAGCCCTGCTTCCAGGTGAGGTGTCTGAACACAAAGGGCAGTAGCAGAGCAGGTTCTCCTAGAGAGGAACCCTTGGTTGCTCCACAAGGACCAAGCCCCACTTCCAGGTGAGGTGTCAGAAGAATTTCCCCAGCTCTCAAGGAGGACCAGCCCATCCATCCCCTTTGGGAAGGGGTCGGGGATGTTGGCTTTGGTTTCAGAGCAGTCCACGTACTGAAGAATGTCTTTTTGAACAGAGCACTGATCAACTGCTCTGCAAGAGATGAATAACTAAGGATTTTTACACTTCCAGGTGAGGTGTCAGAAGAATTTCCCCAGCTCTCAAGGAGGACCAGCCCATCCATCCCCTTTGGGAAGGGGTCGGGGATGTTGGCTTTGGTTTCAGAGCAGTCCATGTACTGAAGAATGTCTTTTTGAACAGAACAGATCAACTGTTCTGCAAGAGATGAATAACTAAGGATTTTTAAGGACTTGCAGGCCTGTCAACAGATTTATTTCCACAAAATTGTGCTACGATGAGATGAAGCACTTCTAGATTTTTCCATCCTGACGTATTATGTGAGACAACTTCTATTCAGAGGCAGTTTTCAGCTCTTGAGTTGGGGTTGAGTTGCTGCGGTGTGAAGAGAGGGTTAAATAGCTCATCTTCTCTCCCTGTGGAGTGTTACAGAATGGCCCTTATTCAGATTCCACCTCCCTATTCCAGGAGCCACCTGGAACAGGAACTGAAGCGGGAGAGGGACAGATGGTCACAGAGTCACCAACGCGGCCAAGACAACAAAAAAGGCCCAAAGAATTGGCTGAGACAGGTAATTTGGGGATTGTTCCCCTTGGCTTGCGCTGGAAATGTGGTCTCGTTTTCCTCAGTTGCTTTTCCTGAGCTTTGTTAGGCAATAAATTGGATTGTTGATGCGCCACAACTACATGGAACCTTTTTCACACACGCTAAATAGGCAGTTTATTGAGTTGAGCCTCATAAAAATTATTGCAAATATTACATTTCACTGGAGAACGCTGATTTCCTCTTCTGGGCTGGGAACATGACAAAATCCTGACAGTAACTGTAATTTTCTTTCACTAATTCAACAAAACCAAGTGTAATACAAGAGAAGGACGCTGTAAACTTTACAGCTTATGAAAAGCAAATTTACTTGGTTTTATTTCTCGCATCTTAATAAGGGATATTCTCCTGAAAGAGGTGAATAGTAAAATTTGGGAGACAAAATGATTTTTGGCTGGTATCACAAGTCACTGTTGGTGTTCTCTCAGCACAGAGGGTTGGGGAAGTCAGTGTTTTTCATCTTGAGAGTAAAACTTGGTAGTTCCCAAGCGAAACTCTCTTTTTAGCAATAAATTTGCCTTTGGAAGTGAAAATCTGCTCCGTGGCTTTTCCTGTAAAACACAACAGGTTCTTTTGCCGGGAATTGGCAGCAAAACACTTGTTTTGGGGAACGAAACTCATCCCCGCGAGGAGTGGGAGGTGCTGGAGGTGGTTTCTGCTGCCCCACAGGAGAGTTGCCTTCCCTGGGCTCCCCGGGGCTGCTTCAGCCACCCCACTTTTTCTTTTTTTAACCAATATCACACCCAATTTCAAGGACATTATTCATGCATCAGGATCCATCTGTGGAAAATCCTTGTTTGCTGTAGCAGAAGAGCTAGAATTCAGGGGGAGGGAACCAAGCACGGTGCGGTTTGGGCTGGTAAAAATGAAAACCAGAAACCCCCAAACTGGGCAGACCGGTCTCTAAAGCCAAAGGTTGGAAAAAAGTAATTTCAGAATTATTTTTTTTTGCCACGGAACTTGGCAAAAAGTGCTTGATCCGGCAGAAGTTTGTTGTTTGCAGAAATGGAGGAGCTGGGCTGAGATTGGGGTCACAAGGTGGTCGCTGGGGAGGATTTGTCACCTCTCCTGGCTGAGAGGATTTGTCCCGCTCATCGGTCGTTAAAAAGCCCCTTCAGCTGTAAACAATTCCTCTTGGCAGGACGGGAGGCACAAAATCCAGGAAGAAAATGCAAAAGTGAAGCAGCCCCCAAGGGAGGACAGTGTCCTGAACAGTGTCCTGAGCAGCGTCCTGCCCCACAGGTAGGGAAGGGAAGAGATCTCATTTTTGCCTTCTCCTTTTCTCCTTCCCTTTCTCCAGTTTCTTTGCCGATGGAAAGTTTGGAAACTTCCATTTCAAAGTGCAACTTCCCTTTCAAAGAACCATTTTTCAGCCTAATGCCTCTCGCTGAGCTCTCTCTGCTGCTTTTTCGTAGCCCTCAAAGGGAAGAAGGAGGTTCTGCCACTTGCCCTCAGCGTTTCTGGAGATGAAAAGCTCCCTCTCTCTCCCATTTACCTTTGAATTTGTTTCTGCATAAATCTGTTGTTTACTAATTTGTCTTACTTAATGAACTTAATAAGTCAAATGCTGCAGAGACCTTTGGAACTCGTGTTCAACGAAGGTATCGCTGTTGGTGAGGGAAAGGAGAAGGTTGGTGGGTCAATGGCATTTAGAACCAGTAACTGGTGGCTTTTGGACAAGAAGAGAAGCTGTTGGAGAAAGAGAACTTGACATAATATTTCAAGGAAGTGGTTGTATAAAAATGTAGTTCTGGTAGCACATTTCTGAACTTGGTGTCACAGAGGAAGATTTTGGTGTAGAACTTGTTTAGTGTTGAAAACCAAATCCGAAAGTTAGTTTTCAATGAGAAGAGATGTTTTCTCTGTGAGGAGGACGTTGCTGGAGGATGTTAATGGCCCGTTGGAGTCCTCTGACCGTCGGTGACAGAACACAGAGCTCTGCCAGGCTGTGCTGAACACCCGTATAAACTTAGAGAATTCTGGTCTTAAAAATAGCGTAAGCTCGATTCAAATCTGCTTTACTGGGTGTTAAAACCCTTCCAGGCCTTAGATGCAGGAGCTGTTCCACCTGGGCTGTTCCAGCAGCAGGAGCATCGGGCTGCTGAGCTGTCTCAGAGACCTCACAACACCACAGGAGACCAGACACAGAGTGGTTTTGCAGCAACACACCCCAAAAATGTGCATGGGTAGGATTTTCACGACAGGTTGAGGGAATTCCCTGATGTTTTTCTGAAATGCCACAGTGACTGAAGTGACGAGGCTCCTCTCTTGCAGGTCCCCGGGCGGCACGCAGGACGAGCAGGTGGGTGGTGCTTTCTCTTGCCTTGAAATACTGAAAGGGGAGGGTCCCGAGGGAGCTCCTGGGGGGCTGCACCACCTGCCCTGCCCAGATGCCTCCTGGATGTCCTTCAGGTTGTGCCTTGGGGAGGATTTGTCCATAGTGGACAAGTGCTGTCATCTCAGTAGGAAGACTTTCTACTGAGTGAGCTCATTCTGCCTCCTCAGCACGACCCTGTTGGTTTTTAAACAAATATTAACCCCTTGTATTATCCCTTTGCCCTCTGCCTTTCCTGGCGTGTCTCAAAAGAAGAAGAAAACATAATATAATACAGTGTTTCTGGGAATGGTGGTGTTTGACCTCCTTGGTGGTGTTTAAGCTCCGCGCTCCGGGGTAGGGCTTTGCCAGTTGCTCCATAGGGTGGAGGGAAGGGGGTGTTTTGGTTGATTGGCTTGTTTTGCCATTTCCATGTATCTCAAATTGCCCAAAATCCATTCTTTCCCTCCTTGGGGTGTCTGGCAAAGCAGGGCTACACCCCTGTCAGTGGGATGCTGTAACACTGGTGTGGTGTAGCTGGTGGGACTGTAGGTCATCCTGCAAAGGCTTGGTGGTCCCTTGTGGCTGCTCCGTCGGGGGGAGAGGGGTGAAAAAACACCACGTGGGGACCTTCCTCCTCCCTGTGTGAGAGGAGGATCCGGTGTAAATTAGAACGTCTTGGTTTTCCCTTGGGGTGTAGGAACAGCCGTCGGGAGCTGGGAACGCCGAGATCTGCCAGCTCTGCCGGGAAGAAAGCAGCCGGAGCGCAAAGAAGGTAACTCCCAAGGCTCCTGTTGTCACCTCTGTCACCTCAACAACGTGTGTTTCCTCCCATTTTCATCTTGGAACAGCAGAGACTTCCCACTGGTGACTTGGGACCGAGAAATGAGCCCTTTTCTGAAGTCCACTTCCCCCTTAAACTCGTTAGACAGTGGTTGCCTGAGGGTTCCTCGCTCTGCTCTGTTTTCTCTTCCCTTTAGCAGCTTTTTCCCTTTACTCAAATGGTTGTTTTTTTTTTTTTCTGGGATCAATCAGAAGTGAGAATCACAGAATCACAGAATCTTCTAGGTTGGAAGGGACCTCAAAGATCATCTTGTCCAACCGTCAACCTAATTTTGACAAAAATAGACACCCACACAACAAACAAGGAGCATCATCACTAAACCATACCTCCCAGCACTACATCAACCTGTCTTTTGAACACCTCCAGGGATGGGGCCTCAACCACCTCCCTGGGCAGCCCATCCCAATGGATGATGACCCTTTCAGGGAAAAAATCTTTCCTAATACAGGAGTATTAGGATATAGGAGGAATAGAGGTGCTGACACTTGTCCATTTCTCCATTTAGGGCCCGTTGCCTTTTTCTCTTATTTTTATTCTTTTTTTTGTGGCTAAGCCCCCCCCTTGCTTTCCTCACGATGACAAGAGGGTTACCAAAGAGGGGTGTTTGGTGGGAGTGCTGCCTCCATCCAGACACTTCCCTGCACCGATGCTGAGGAGCAGGAGCAGTTTGCAAGGACACACACGTTTGTTTGATTGCTCAGGAGCAAACCCCTGGTCTTCAGAGGAGACAAGAGTAGAGTTTTGGAGCATCTTTCTCTAACCCATTGGAGCATTTGGGTTGAGGGAACAATAACAAGAGAAAACAGCAGTTCCTTTTGTGTCGCTTGTGTCTTGAGCATCTCCTTAATGTCTCTGTCCTCCTTCTGCCTTCCAGAACATCTGCAAGAACTGTGGTGGTGTCTTCTGTGAAGCTTGTTCAGGGAACGAGCTGCCCCTGCCCTCCAGCATCAACCCCCAGCGCGTCTGCGACCCCTGCCACCAGCAGCTCATCCAGCAGTACTCGGCCAGCCCCTTGTAGGGGGGACAGTGCAGGGAGAGGTGACCAAAAAATGGTGGTGGCTGAGCATGGTGGCTTGTGGAGTTGTCCTGGGGGGGGGAAATGTGAAGAGAAGACACTTTCCTGTGTCCTTTGGAGGTCGGAGGGAAGCAGCTTCGTGGTGTTTCGTGGACGGTCTGAGCTTTCCCTGTCCCAAAACCTGCCGGCTCCCAGCGCTGAGCTTGTGCTGGGGAAGAGCTGTTTTGGGGATGTCCCCAAGGTGTCCCCCAGCAGCCAGGACAGAGTGTCCTCGCCCCAAAACGAGCTCTGTGTCTGCGGGGGTGGGTCAGGAACGGTCTTATCCTCATAGCTGTGATGTGACAGCTGCTGCTGAGCGACGCCTCGCTGAAAGCAGGACGGGGGGATGCTCAGTCCTCCTGCCTGGCTCCACTTGAAACCCCCTGTCCCTTTCCCCTCGCCTTTGACAATCCGAGCTGCGTCGCTGCCGGGGCTCTGAAGGCCAAGGGAAGAGGCCAAGAAACTCTTCCAAGCTTCACTCCTTCAGCCCTGGCCGCGGCTGCGCAAATCGGGCTGGAAAACTCAAACCAAGCTGTGAAAGTTCCAAAGTTCTCCTTGTGTGCAGGGGGTGCAGGATGGGGAGAACCAAGGACCTGCACTGATCTGGGACCTTCCTGGTTAGACCCTCACTGTGACTTGGTGACCACACCGGGGTGGTGATGGTGAAGAGCATCCATCACTGCACCTCCCGTGGTGGGGTGGGAGCTGGAGGGATTGGATCCCCAGCACTGAGAGACCAAATCCTCGTGACGACACATTTAGGGGCCACTTCCCTCCACCTCTCCCCCTCGGCCACAGGCAAAAAATTGTAATAAACCCAGCGTTTTGCTAATTATTTTTCTTTGGTAGAGAAGGAACAGAAAGGAACAAAAGAAGCAGGAACGTTTTTTGCCCACAAGAAATTCTGATTTGAAACAGGGTAAAGAGGTTCCACACTTCATGGTACATCATTCTTTGCTGCTCCTACCTCAAGGAACGTCATGTTACGCCGAAAAAAGCGGTGGGGGCTTCCTTAGTGAAGCACGGAGCACGTCACGGTGGTGGTGGGGACTGGTTTATACTGGAAATCTACTTGTCTTGAAGACCGCAGAATGTTTTGTAGTCCTTAGAAAAACTGGTGTTATTTCTGTGACAATTTGGGTTTGTACCAATGTTGTTAGGGGTTAGTGGGTTATTTCCTCGGGGGGGATTTTTCTGGTGATCGGACCAGCTGGAACCGCGGTGATGGGCATGTGGGAGCTGAGCTGGTTGCCGTGGTTGGTGCTCGTTTGGTCCAGGAATTTCTCTCCTTGAGTTCCCTCCAGGCCTTGGCATGTTCTGCTGAGGTCTCAGCCTCCTCTCGGTGCCCCTCGGAGCCACAGCACCTCACAGGGGGGGCAGCTTCAGAGATTTCCTTCTTCTGCTCTTTTTTTCCCCCCTCCCACGGTCGTTAAGAGATAGACGTCTTCACTGCTGCCCCATGAAGTAGTGGTTATTTCCTCCGGGGGGATTTTTCTGTTGATCAGACCGGCTGGAACGGCGGTGACGGGCGTGTGGGAGCTGGCAGGGCTGGGACACCAGGGATGAGGGGAGATGGGGAATTCTGCGTTACTACTTTTGTGTACAAACTGTGCACATTTACCAGCTTCCAAACTCCTGCATCCGAGCCCAGCATCACTCCTCCCCCGAGGAGAGAGTGAGACCCAAACCATTTCCATGTGGGAGGATTAAACTGGAAACCAGACACTTACTGTAATGCTGTTAGTGCTGGTGCATCCAGCGTTTTGCAGCTCCGGAGGGGACAGTCTATTTGCCGTTGTCCCAGCAGGAGTGACCGCCGCTCCGCTTGCTCCAAGCTGGAAAAAGCAGGACGGCCCTTGAGCAGCAAGAGGAGATCTCACAGGAGGTGGCTGAAATCCTTCAGAATCCAGCGCTGTGGCTACCACGGAAGGGTCCAGCTCAGCGTTGGCACCTCCTCGTTCCTTGTGTTCCTAGCTCCGGGAATGTCTCTGCCTGGAAGCAGGGGATGCTGGAGGGGACATCTGTGGCATCACGGGGTGTAATGCTGCGCCAACAGGTGGCCGTTTGGATTTGGGGAGCAGAGGGTGGTTTTTCCTGATGTTAATTTTGTTCCATGAGATAATAAAACCTTGATCACCTGTCTCCTGCCTCTGAGTGCTTGTGGAATCGTTCCAAATCCAGATGGCAGAGATGGAGGCTGAGAAAGGCAGTAGGAGGGGTGAGGTGCTGGATGAGGATGTCAAAGCTCTCTGGGTTGGTTAATCCCAAATATTGGTGGTTTATTAACACTTCAAACACCATTCCACTGTCAGAGAGCAGACCTGCTCCGTCCTGCGGCAGTTGCCGTTCCTGCAGGGCAGCTGCTGCTTTTGCAACAGAGAAATCTTTCCAAAGTAGGTCAACACAATTTATTACATGCTTTTACACAACGTTAAACTACATTTTATACAGTTTTATCCTTTGTTACTGAGCAGTGACACTCCGACCCGATCTTTACGCTCGTACCCACGGAATGTGTTCACTTTGGCCTAAAAAAGAAAGGAAGAGGAAAAAGAGAAATGACTCCTTTGTTGCAGCTTATTGCTTTCCTTTTATCACATGCTCCATTGGCTGCTTTTTGTCCCAAATTATTGTCTCTATAGTAGAATCCAGCAGTACTAAAGGATCTCACCAGACGAAAAAGCTAAGATGACACAAACAGCTCCACCAGGTGAGACATTTTTGGGGGTTGGGGGGGCTGCAGCACACACGTGGGGTGTGAGGTGTTAATTCCACTGGGGAATTAGTGGAATAAGTCCCAGCGCAGGGGACAGAGAATGTCCTGGATGTTCCTGTTCTCTTGAATCTGCCCCAAAAGCTTATCCCAGGCCTAGGCTAGAAATCCCTGGCACTGGGGGGTGCCAGCCCCCACTGCTGCAGCGGGAGGGGCCAGGAATTTGGGGAGCAGCACCCATCGCCCCCCACTTCCAGAAGGGAACTTGGGGAAGCGTTACGAGTTGGCCAGGGCCACCCATAAAGGTCACAGGAAACATCTTTCCTGGTACAAACATTCTGCCCCACGCTGGGGGGGCTTCTCCTTTGCAGCAGGGGGGGCTGTCTTGTGGTGTCTGTGAGGAGTGTGACCCGATGGGGTGACAGCAGCAAGAACTGTCACACTCAGCTACAGCCACCTCCCCAGGAGGGCCACCTCCCTCACACTCACACCCAGTGCAGCACAGTTATTCCCTCCTAAAGGGCAAAGAGAGAGACGTAGTTGCTCTGAAAATAAAACACACACACACTAACTCCACCAAAAACCCCACCAAACCCAAAAACAGTCCAGGCCCAGGAAACCCCTCACCTTGTGAACACGGTGGAAAATGTTACAACCTGTTAGAACTGGGAACAGGTCGAGGACCCTTGGCTAGAAAAGAGGGGATGGATTGAAAAAAACCCAAAACCCACTAAAAAAAATACCCCACGAATGTTACTTTGTCCAACTGCACTGTGTGTAACAGTAACATCCTCCCCAGCCAAAAGACCAGTAGACCCCCAGCCAGGGGAAATGTTTAGCCACGATTCCTCTTCCATGCCAGGAGATGCAGCCCCAGCAGCACCTTTATTTAATCTCACTCGCAGAGTTTTAAGGGGAGGAGGAAAATTAAAAGCAGCCCTCTACTGCCTGTTCCAGCAGGGCCCAGCTGGGCAGCGTTGGCTGTGACTGCAGGAAGGAGCTGCTGCCCCTTCACCCTGGGATTTCCATCCCATGGGATCTGGATGCGCAGGGCAGAGCATCCAGGCTGTGGAGAGCCCCTCCAACCCCTCCAAACGCTGGCGGTTCAGCCAGCTGAGATCTGAGGCATCACAAATAGGAGCCTGGAGCCACCCCCTGCTAAAAATGGAAGAGGAAGGAGAGGAGGAGGAGGAGGAGGAGGCCGAGATCTGCCAGCTCTGCCGGGAAGAAAGCAGCCGGAGCGCAAAGAAGGTAACTCCCAAGGCTCCTGTTGTCACCTCTGTCACCTCAACAACGTGTGTTTCCTCCCATTTTCATCTTGGAACAGCAGAGACTTCCCACTGGTGACTTGGGACCGAGAAATGAGCCCTTTTCTGAAGTCCACTTCCCCCTTAAACTCGTTAGACAGTGGTTGCCTGAGGGTTCCTCGCTCTGCTCTGTTTTCTCTTCCCTTTAGCAGCTTTTTCCCTTTACTCAAATGGTTGTTTTTTTTTTTTTCTGGGATCAATCAGAAGTGAGAATCACAGAATCACAGAATCTTCTAGGTTGGAAGGGACCTCAAAGATCATCTTGTCCAACCGTCAACCTAATTTTGACAAAAATAGACACCCACACAACAAACAAGGAGCATCATCACTAAACCATACCTCCCAGCACTACATCAACCCGTCTTTTGAACACCTCCAGGGATGGGGCCTCAACCACCTCCCTGGGCAGCCCCTTCCAATGGATGATGACCCTTTCAGGGAAAAAATCTTTCCTAATACAGGAGTATTAGGATATAGGAGGAATAGAGGTGCTGACACTTGTCCATTTCTCCATTTAGGGCCCGTTGCCTTTTTCTCTTATTTTTATTCTTTTTTTTGTGGCTAAGCCCCCCCCTTGCTTTCCTCACGATGACAAGAGGGTTACCAAAGAGGGGTGTTTGGTGGGAGTGCTGCCTCCATCCAGACACTTCCCTGCACCGATGCTGAGGAGCAGGAGCAGTTTGCAAGGACACACACGTTTGTTTGATTGCTCAGGAGCAAACCCCTGGTCTTCAGAGGAGACAAGAGTAGAGTTTTGGAGCATCTTTCTCTAACCCATTGGAGCATTTGGGTTGAGGGAACAATAACAAGAGAAAACAGCAGTTCCTTTTGTGTCGCTTGTGTCTTGAGCATCTCCTTAATGTCTCTGTCCTCCCTCTGCCTTCCAGAACATCTGCAAGAACTGTGGTGGTGTCTTCTGTGAAGCTTGTTCAGGGAACGAGCTGCCCCTGCCCTCCAGCATCAACCCCCAGCGCGTCTGCGACCCCTGCCACCAGCAGCTCATCCAGCAGTACTCGGCCAGCCCCTTGTAGGGGGGACAGTGCAGGGAGAGGTGACCAAAAAATGGTGGTGGCTGAGCATGGTGGCTTGTGGAGTTGTCCTGGGGGGGGAAATGTGAAGAGAAGACACTTTCCTGTGTCCTTTGGAGGTCGGAGGGAAGCAGCTTCGTGGTGTTTCGTGGACGGTCTGAGCTTTCCCTGTCCCAAAACCTGCCGGCTCCCGGCGCTGAGCTTGTGCTGGGGAAGAGCTGTTTTGGGAATGTCCCCAAGGTGTCCCCCAGCAGCCAGGACAGAGTGTCCTCGCCCCAAAACGAGCTCTGTGTCTGCGGGGGTGGGTCAGGAACGGTCTTATCCTCATAGCTGTGATGTGACAGCTGCTGCTGAGCGACGCCTCGCTGAAAGCAGGACGGGGGGATGCTCAGTCCTCCTGCCTGGCTCCACTTGAAACCCCCTGTCCCTTTCCCCTCGCCTTTGACAATCCGCGTCGCTGCTGGGGCTCTGAAGGCCAAGGGAAGAGGCCAAGAAACTCTTCCAAGCTTCACTCCTTCAGCCCTGGCCGCGGCTGCGCAAATCGGGCTGGAAAACTCAAACCAAGCTGTGAAAGTTCCAAAGTTCTCCTTGTGTGCAGGGGGTGCAGGATGGGGAGAACCAAGGACCTGCACTGATCTGGGACCTTCCTGGTTAGACCCTCACTGTGACTTGGTGACCACACCGGGGTGGTGATGGTGAAGAGCATCCATCACTGCACCTCCCGTGGTGGGGTGGGAGCTGGAGGGATTGGATCCCCAGCACTGAGAGACCAAATCCTCGTGACGACACATTTAGGGGCCACTTCCCTCCACCTCTCCCCCTCGGCCACAGGCAAAAAATTGTAATAAACCCAGCGTTTTGCTAATTATTTTTCTTTGGTAGAGAAGGAACAGAAAGGAACAAAAGAAGCAGGAACGTTTTTTGCCCACAAGAAATTCTGATTTGAAACAGGGTAAAGAGGTTCCACACTTCATGGTACATCATTCTTTGCTGCTCCTACCTCAAGGAACGTCATGTTACGCCGAAAAAAGCGGTGGGGGCTTCCTTAGTGAAGCACGGAGCACGTCACGGTGGTGGTGGGGACTGGTTTATACTGGAAATCTACTTGTCTTGAAGACCGCAGAATGTTTTGTAGTCCTTAGAAAAACTGGTGTTATTTCTGTGACAATTTGGGTTTGTACCAATGTTGTTAGGGGTTTAGTGGTTATTTCCTCCGGGGGGATTTTTCTGTTGATCAGACCGGCTGGAACGGCGGTGACGGGCGTGTGGGAGCTGAGGTGGTTGTCGTGGTTGGTGCTTGTTTGTTCCAGGAATTTTGTTTCAGGAATTTCTCTCCTTGAGTTCCCTCCAGGCCTTGGCATGTTCTGCTGAGGTCTCAGCCTCCTCTCGGTGCCCCTCGGAGCCACAGCACCTCACAGGGGGGGCAGCTTCAGAGATTTCCTTCTTCTGCTCTTTTTTTCCCCCCTCCCACGGTCGTTAAGAGATAGACGTCTTCACTGCTGCCCCATGAAGTAGATTTAGTAGTTGTTGAAAGATGAAAATCCTCAAATTGAGGTGTGGGCTCCCTGCTTGACACCAGAGATGAGGGGAGTTGGGGAATTCTGCGCTACTACTTTTGTGTACAAACTGTTTGCATTTACCAGCTTCCAAACTCCTGCGTCCGAGCCCAGCATCGCTCCTCCCCCAAGGAGAGAGTGAGACCCAAACCACGTCCACGTGGGAGGATTCAACTGGAAACCAGACACTTACTGTAATGCTGTTAGTGCTGGTGCATCCAGCGTTTTGCAGCTCCGGAGGGGACAGTCTATTTGCCATTGTCCTGGCAGGAGCGACCGCCGCTCCGCTTGCTCCAAGCACAGGCTGGGACTTTTCCTGGGAGAAGCAGGACGGCCCTTGAGCAGCAAGAGGAGATCTCACAGGAGGTGGCTGAAATCCTTCAGAATCCAGCGCTGTGGCTACCACGGAAGGGTCCAGCTCAGCGTTGGCACCTCCTCGTTCCTTGTGTTCCTAGCTCCGGGAATGTCTCTGCCTGGAAGCAGGGGATGCTGGAGGGGACATCTGTGGCATCACAGGGTGTAATGCCATGCCGACAGGTGGCTGTTTGGATTTGGGGAGCAGAGGGTGGTTTTTCCTGATGTTAATTTTGTTCCATGAGATAATAAAACCTTGATCACCTGTATCCTGCCTCCCGAGTGCTTGTGGAATCGTTCCAAAACCAGATGGCAGAGATGGAGGCTGAGAAAGGCAGTAGGAGGGGTGAGGTGCTGGATGAGGATGTCAAAGCGCTCTGGGTTCCTTAATCCCAAATATTGGTGGTTTATTAACACTTCAAACACCATTCCACTGTCAGAGAGCAGACCTGCTCCGTCCTGCGGCAGTTGCCGTTCCTGCGGGGCAGCTGCTGCTTTTGCAACAGAGAAATCCTCCTGCCTCTGAGTGCTTGTGGAATCGTTCCAAATCCAGATGGCAGAGATGGAGGCTGAGAAAGGCATCCTGCCTCCCGAGTGCTTGTGGAATCGTTCCAAAACCAGATGGCAGAGATGGAGGCTGAGAAAGGCAGTAGGAGGGGTGAGGTGCTGGATGAGGATGTCAAAGCGCTCTGGGTTCCTTAATCCCAAATATTGGTGGTTTATTAACACTTCAAACACCATTCCACTGTCAGAGAGCAGACCTGCTCCGTCCTGCGGCAGTTGCCGTTCCTGCGGGGCAGCTGCTGCTTTTGCAACAGAGAAATCTTTCCAAAGTAGGTCAACACAATTTATTACATGCTTTTACACAACGTTAAACTACATTTTATACAGTTTTATCCTTTGTTACTGAGCAGTGACACTCCGACCCGATCTTTACGCTCGTACCCACGGAATGTGTTCACTTTGGCCTAAAAAAGAAAGGAAGAGGAAAAAGAGAAATGACTCCTTTGTTGCAGCTTATTGCTTTCCTTTTATCACATGCTCCATTGGCTGCTTTTTGTCCCAAATTATTGTCTCTATAGTAGAATCCAGCAGTACTAAAGGATCTCACCAGACGAAAAAGCTAAGATGACACAAACAGCTCCACCAGGTGAGACATTTTTGGGGGTTGGGGGGGCTGCAGCACACACGTGGGGTGTGAGGTGTTAATTCCACTGGGGAATTAGTGGAATAAGTCCCAGCACAGGGGACAGAGAGTATTCTGGATGTTCCTGTTCTCTTGAATCTGCCCCAAAAGCTTATCCCAGGCCTAGGCTAGAAATCCCTGGCACTGGGGGGTGCCAGCCCCCTCTGCTGCAGCAGGAGGGGCCAGGAATTTGGGGAGCAGCACCCATCGCCCCCCACTTCCAGAGGGGAACTCAGGGAAGCGTTACGAGTTGGCCAGGGCCATCCATAAAGGTCCCAGGAAATGTCTTTCCTGGTACAAACATTCTGCCTCACACTGGGGGGGCTTCTTTTGCAGCAGGGGGGGCTGTCTTGTGGTGTCTGTGAGGAGTGTGACCCGATGGGGTGACAGCAGCAAGAACTGTCACACTCAGCTACAGCCACCTCCCCAGGAGGGCCACCTCCCTCACACTCACACCCAGTGCAGCACAGTTATTCCCTCCTAAAGGGCAAAGAGAGAGACGTAGTTGCTCTGAAAATAAAACACACACACACTAACTCCACCAAAAACCCCACCAAACCCAAAAACAGTCCAGGCACAGGAAACCCCCCGCCTTGTTAACAGGGTGGAAAATGTTACAACCTGTTAGAACTGGGAACAGGTCGAGGACCCTTGGCTAGAAAAGAGGGGATGGATTGAAAAAAACCCAAAACCCACTAAAAAAAATACCCCACGAATGTTACTTTGTCCAACTGCACTGTGTGTAACAGTAACATCCTCCCCAGCCAAAAGACCAGTAGACCCCCAGCCAGGGGAAATGTTTAGCCACGATTCCTCTTCCATGCCAGGAGATGCAGCCCCAGCAGCACCTTTATTTAATCTCACTCGCAGAGTTTTAAGGGGAGGAGGAAAATTAAAAGCAGCCCTCTACTGCCTGTTCCAGCAGGGCCCAGCTGGGCAGCGTTGGCTGTGACTGCAGGAAGGAGCTGCTGCCCCTTCACCCTGGGATTTCCATCCCATGGGATCTGGATGCGCAGGGCAGAGCATCCAGGCTGTGGAGAGCCCCTCCAACCCCTCCAAACGCTGGCGGTTCAGCCAGCTGAGATCTGAGGCATCACAAATAGGAGCCTGGAGCCACCCCCTGCTAAAAATGGAAGAGGAAGGAGAGGAGGAGGAGGAGGAGGAGTAACAGTAACATCCTCCCCAGCCAAAAGACCAGAAAACCCCCAACCAGGGGAAATGTTTAGCCACGATTCCTCTTCCGTGCCAGGAGATGCAGCCCCAGCAGCACCTTTAATTAATGGCACTCGCAGAGTTTTAAGGGGAGGAGGAAAGGAAAAAGCAGCCCTGTCCTCCCGCTCCAGCAGGGCCCAGGTGGGCAGCATCAGGGCGGCGCTGGCGGTGACTGCAGGAAGGAGCTGCTGCCCCTTCACCCTGGGATTTCCATCCCATGGGATCTGGATCCACAGGGCAGAGCATCCAGGCTGTGGAGAGCCCCTCCAGCCCCTCCAAACGCTGGCGGTTCAGCCAGCTGAGATCTGAGGCATCACAAATAGGAGCCTGGAGCCACCCGCTGCTAAAAATGGAAGAGGAAGGAGAGGAGGAGGAGGAGGAGGAGGATACACTCACCAACCCCGAGAGCGTGCCACTGTCACTAGCAGTCCTGCTTCTCCTTGGGATGTTCATTCAGGAATAATTCCACAGCACCGCACTCTGGGGAGCGATTTGAGAGAGACAAGGATTGGATGTGCTGTTATTGCCTTTTCTTCCCTCAAACCCAACGCCACGTTACGGGATCATTGGGAAATCTCTGCTTCAGGCGATCCTTTGGCACGGGGTGTTGACAGCAGCTTCCCGAGCTGTGCCAGGCAGCCCCAGGAGCTGAGTCTTGGGGTGGCAAGACCCCCCCTCCCACACACACACACACACACACTCCTCGTGACTTACGCAGCTGTGACCCCTCCTTGGCCATGGCAGCGACTGCGTCCTCTCGGCTCTCAAAATGCACATCTGCTTCTCCCGTGGCATCCCCCTGGGAGTTGTACTCCACCATCACCCGCGTGGGCTTCAGCGGCGCAAAAAACTACAAAGGAGGGGGGAAAAAAAGAGGGTTTGGTGAGGAAAAAAAGCATTACCCAAAAACTCAATGTTTTTACTCGTAAACTGTGTCCAGTTTTGGGCACCCTACCACAAAAAAGACATCGAGGTGCTGGAGTGGGTCCAGAGAAGGGCAACAAAGCTGGTGAGGGGTCTGGAGCACAAGTCTTGTGAGGAGAGGCTGAGGGAGCTGGGGGTGTTCAGCCTGGAGAGGAGGAGGCTGAGGGGAGACCTTCTGGCTCTCTCCAACTCCCTGAAAGGAGGGTGTAGCCAGGGGGGGTCGGTCTCTTCTCCCAAGTCACAGATGGGGGAATGGCCTCAAGTTGCACCAGGGGAGGTTCAGGCTGGATATTAGGAAACATTTTTTCCCTGAAAGGGTTCTCAGCCATTGGAATGGGCTGCCCAGGGAGGTGGTTGAGGCACCATCCCTGGAGGTGTTCAAAAGACGGGTTGATGTAGTGCTGGGAGGTATGGTTTAGTGATGGTGATGCTCCTTGTTTGTTGTGTGGGTGTCTATTTTTGTCAGTTGGGTTGACGGTTGGACAAGGTGATCTTTGAGGTCCCTTCCAACCTAGAAGATTCTGTGATTCCGTAAAGCCTGTCCAGCTGGGGGAGTGGGGGAAAGAGTCTGAGCTCTTGAGTAGCAAAGCACTGCCCTTCTCCACCTGGGTGAAGCTGAGGGACACCCCAATCACCCGTCCCACCCTCTGTCACCTCCTGGCACAGTAACTCTTGACAGCAACCCAAATCCTCACAGGGCACACGTGTTCTGTACACGTCAAAAGTCATTAACGTGCAAGTATATTCACTCTGGGATGTTCCATACTGATAAAATAAACTAAAATTGCTCTTAAAAAGATGCTGAAATTCACTTTTGTACAGTCAGCTCCTCTGAAATGTAGCCACGATGATAACTGGCGCTCCTGAGGTCACAGTGAGGACACTCAGACAGCCCAGCAAGCTTTCATCCTTCCGAATTTATGGAGGGGAGCATATCCCTGCTGTGTCCCACCTTCCCCAGGGAGCCCAGAGCCCTCAGCACACTCCTGTTTCCCAACACGTTCAGCCTGAAGCCACGCAGCACTGAGGCCCCACACAGACAAAGATCAATTAAAAACCTGCAGTTGCTTTATCTGTAACAATTAATCAAGGGTTTCCATTGGTGATTTCATTCACGGTTTTGCTGTTACTCACATTTATGATGTCTTGGGCACTAGCTTGGGTAGGAAAACCCCTGACGTGGACAAAGTGCAGCGGTGACGAGGCGTTCCCGGATTCTGAAATGGGCCTGGAGCTTTCTGTTCCTTCCCTGCACGATTCTGTGGAATGGGGGGAAAAAACCCATCATTAATGCTCATGATTCTCACCTCCCTCCCATCCATGAAAGCTGTAGACACAGGGTCACGCTCACAGCAAACATTGAGAGTAAAAGGAAGGGGCCTCAATGCAGCCAGAGGACAGGGAGGGACTCACTGGGTTCTCTTTCAGCATCGGAGGCTCCTGTGTTGCTCCATCCCCTTTCCTCAGAAATGAACTCGGGTTCTCTCCTCGCCCTGTAGGAGGTCACCATCTGCCTGTCGTAAGGCACGTGCCTCTGCATGTGATGCTTCCTACTGACGTACACCTCTATGTACCTGGAATTCAAAGGAAGAGATTACAGGGTCATCTCTCACACCTCTGCAAAGAGCTCCAGGTTTGGAGGCAGTGCCACTTCAGGATGTTCTCCCATCTCCCATCTCAGCTCTGCTCCCCGGTGCGGCACACAACGCTTCTGAAGGATTAATTCATTTAAATTGCACAGTTTTGTTTGAGAAAGCCCTTTTCAACTTGGAGTGACAGCCACTCTCCCCCACAAACCCCCACGCTGTGAGACAGTTACCAGACTGGTCAGGACATGGCCTTCAGTTTACAGCCTTATAAACAGTTCTCACAGCAGATACCCATCACTTAAAAGCCAAAATTCTGTTCTGTCACAGAAAGATAGATTTATTTCCTCTGAAAAATGTTTTTTAGTTCTTTCAGCAGCATCCATCCCTTCTGAGCAGCCCTGAGGCTGTTCTCCCCTCAGTGCATCTCTGCAAAATGCACTGTTCCCAGCTCTTACATAGCCCTAATTAAAACCAGACCCAAGCCCTAAACAGATTACTGAAACGGGCAGCCACACAAGGTGCAGAGGGTTGTATTAATGACTGCAGTGGAGCCAGAAGACTTCATGAAGATTTTAAGATAACACTATGAAACTGATGGGATGAAATAGAACAGGGGGGTTGTGAAAGTCGTGGCTACAATACACCAGTATGTAATGGGACACTAAAGGACTCAGGCGAGATCCCATTTACACCACAAAAATTAAAAATACAACAACAAACCCTTATTTGTGGGTTTAGTCAAAATATAACATTATGATGCCTTATATTTCTATCTGTCCGCCCCAGAACCCCGTAACTCAGTTTCCTGGCTGATCAGACAGAGGTACATGAGCTCAGGGAGGGAATCAGATCAGTTCTTGTTCCATCACGATGAAGAGAAAATTAATGGCAGATTAAGAATTAATTAATCTCTCCTGGAGGTAGGGAAGAGTGTCAGTTAATTCAATTATGGGGCACACCTACAGAGCAGCTGTTCTCATTTAATATGGGTGGGGGGAGAAGCATAAGGGAATGCAGCCTGGGAAGAGGAAATGAGGGAAGAGGAGAAAGGAAGCGGGTGCTGTGTGGAAGAGGTAAGGCTGGGGAGGGCTTTTTCCTGCTTGCTATTCAGTACAAGAACTTGGTGGGTGTTTTAAGAAAAATCAGGACTGGGTTTAAGCCAGAGGTGAGCAGTAACCTGTGCTTCACACAACGTACTCTCTGAGGAGAGACACTGGTTGTGGCCAGTACTGGGCTGAAGGGAAGGGTGAGGGTTACCAATATCATGGAAAGCATCAGGGAACCTGGTGGAAATTTGGCAGGGACAACTGGCTGTAGGAGGCGCAGGATCCCTGTGGGCTTATGCAACATCTTGGGTTACACAGAGTATTAAAAAGGAAACATTTTAATCCTCAAAGTAACAGTCTGACACCACAATGAAAAAGGTTTAGCTGTGATTTCTACTGAAACTTGAATCTGAAGTCTGAGTTCTAGGTTTTAAGGGTGATAAAGGCAGAGGTTTCCTTAATAATGTGAGCATGGGACAGGTTAAGATCAGCTGTTTCACTTTAGAAGCAAGCTCTCAGTCACACAACCTGCTTCAGACCACATTCTTCTCCTCTTGTGGACCCCAGAGAAGCACCTACCTATTTCCCATATATTCTCGGTGCCGTAACAGGGCTTTAGCTGCCATTTCGGGAGCTGCAAACTGCACAAAAGCTTCTCCTGTTCTTCTTTCTCCCCGGTAAATGAAAACTATGTCAGTGATTTTCAAACCTATAGAAGGGTTGGGGAGAAAAAAGGGTATTTACATTGTCAGGAACTTGTGCCATAGCTCAGAGAGACAACTTTGTCCTTATTCTTCTAGTTTTTGACAAGATAATCAGGCAGTTAAATAGTTCTGAAACAACTGCTCATGCTGACCTGCATACCTTTTATTTAAACTTTTTTTTTTAATTCCAAATTACAGGATTTAAGTTTAGTTTTCACAGAAGGTTCAATTGCCAATAATCAATTGAGTTAAGGCTTTAAGTAACTACGAAAACGAGTGAATCCAAGTTGCAGACAAGAAGGAAGTCCAGAACACGAGTGTTCTTGAAATTGTCTTATTATTGTAGTTTTCTTTCATCTCTGTAAAACCCAGCTCAAATTGACTGCACTTAGATTTTTGTTCTGTGTATCTTTTTGGGGAGCCTGTCATGCACTGAAGAGCCTTCTCTGACATGACACAGAGTGCACACCAGGCTGAGCTATTATGCTTATTTTTTTCAGGAATGCCTTTTTGTGTATCTCCTTGAGCCTTGTTGTTTTCTCAAAGGGTGTCCCCAAGCTCCTAAAAATAATGGAAATACTCCACAACACTACCCTCCTCCTCTCAATGTGATAATGCTGCTACTAGATGCCTTCACACAGATTGAAATACTTTTATTGACTGAAAAGTATTATTGGTGGCCTTTGCTTTTGGCGTGATGGTGGTTATTATGAGCCTTGGTGCTGCAGGACTCTGTGTGTGTGTCTACCTGGAGTGGAAAAACTCTAGGGGAAGAACTGGTTTAGTCTGTAATTTAAGCTTTATCTAAGGAAATGTCAATTTATTTTGCAAAACCTAGAAGGGCTTCTTTCCTAACCAATGCAGGTTGCAAGTGGGGGACATGAGCGTGGAGACACACACTGTGCAGTAGTTGCTCAGCTGAGAACTGCTGCAGTTCACTTTCACAACCATTAACAAGCCAGTAATAATAATAATAGTAAAAAAAAATGCTGTTAACAGTTTTAACAGTGGTATATGGGATCTAACTGTCATGATTACACATCTGTGAATACCCATGCTGCATTCACTTGTACTTTAGCTATCATACAGGCATTTTTTCCCCCTCTTAACTTTGCCAAAGTTTAAATTTGCAGGTAACAGGATCTAGGTTCCTCCTCTCCTTCCTTCCCCCACCTCTGTAAGAGTGCTACAGGCACTGATCCTAGGCTAGACCTGCAGAAAGTCAAAGGTGCAAGAAAGCCTTGCAGCCAAAAGCATGTTCAGAAGACTCTAGTTAGTTCCAGCTGCAGGGGAACAGCAACTCCTTGCAGTGTTTCAGGTGTTCAAGCATGTGCTCTTCCTCCTCTCACGTAGAGGAAGAAAGGTCCAGCCGCGCATCAGCTTGGAGAAACAAACCAAAAAGCACAGAACAGGCTGAGCTACCTGAGAAAAAAGCTGCAATATCATCCTCGGTGGAGCTGAAGGGAAGGCCTCTGAGCAGCACAACTCCATCGTTTATGGCTTGGGACTCATCCCGCAGACTCCGGAGCAAGCCCTCCACATCGCTGTCGTGTTGCACCAGGGGAGGTTCAGGCTGGATATTAGGAAACATTTTTTCCCTGAAAGGGTTCTCAGCCATTGGAATGGGCTGCCCAGGGAGGTGGTTGAGGCCCCATCCCTGGAGGTGTTCAAAAGACAGGTTGATGTAGTGCTGGGAGGTATGGTTTAGTGATGGTGATGCTTCTTGTTTGTTGTGTGGGTGTCTATTTTTGTCAGTTAGGTTGACGGTTGGACAAGGTGATCTTTGAGGTCCCTTCCAACCTAGAAGATTTTGTGATTCTGTAAAGCCTGTCCAGCTGGGGGAGTGGGGGAAAGAGTCTGAGCTCTTGAGTAGCAAAGCACTGCCCTTCTCCACCTGGGTGGGGACACCCCAGTCACCCATCCCACTCTCTGTCACCTCCTGGCACAGTAACTCTTAGCAACCCAAATCCTCACAGGGCACACGTGTTCTGTACACGTCAAAAGTCATTAACGCGCAGGTACATTCACTCTGGGATGTTCCATACTAATAAAATAAACTAAAATTGCTCTTAAAAAGATGCTGAAATTCACTTTTGTACAGTCAGCTCCTCTGAAATGTAGCCACGATGATAACTGGCGCTCCTGAGGTCACAGTGAGGACACTCAGACAGCCCAGCAAGCTTTCATCCTTCCGAATTTATGGAGGGGAGCATATCCCTGCTGTGTCCCACCTTCCCCAGGGAGCCCAGAGCCCTCAGCACACTCCTGTTTCCCAACACGTTCAGCCTGAAGCCACGCAGCACTGAGGCCCCACACAGACAAAGATCAATTAAAAACCTGCAGTTGCTTTATCTGTAACAATTAATCAAGGGTTTCCATTGGTAATTTCATTCATAGTTTTGCTGTTACTCACATTTATGATGTCTTGGGCACTGGCTTGGGTAGGAAAACCCCTGACGTGGACAAAGTGCAGCGGTGACGAGGCGTTCCCGGATTCTGAAATGGGTCTGGAGCTTTCTGTTCCTTCCCTGCACGATTCTGTGGAATGGGGGGGGAAAAACCCATCATTAATGCTCGTGATTCTCACCTCCCTCCCATGAAAGCTGTAGATACAGGGTCACGCTCACAGCAAACATTGAGAGTAAAAGGAAGGGGCCTCAAAGCAGCCAGAGGACAGGGAGGGACTCACTGGTTTCTCTTTCAGCATCAGAGGCTCCTGTGTTGCTCCATCCCCTTTCCTCAGAAATGAACTCGGGTTCTCTCCTCGCCCTGTAGGAGGTCACCATCTGCCTGTCGTAAGGCACGTGCCTCTGCATGTGATGCTTCCTACTGACGTACACCTCTATGTACCTGGAATTCAAAGGAAGAGATTACAGGGTCATCTCTCACACCTCTGCAAAGAGCTCCAGGTTTGGAGGCAGCACCACCACTTCAGGATGTTCTCCCATCTCAGCTCTGCTCCCGTGCCAGGTGGGAGAGCCACGGTGCAGCACGCAACGCTTCTGAAGGATTAATTCATTTAAATTGCACAGTTTTGTTTGAGAAAGCCCTTTCCAACTTGGAGTGACAGCCACTCTCCCCCACAAACCCCCACGCTGTGAGACAGTTACCAGACTGGTCGGGACATGGTCTTTAGTTTACAGCCTTATACACAGTTCTCATAGCAGATACCCATCACTTAAAAGCCAAAATTCTGTTCTGTCACAGAAAGACAGATTTATTTCCTCTGAAAAATGTTTTCTAGTTCTTTCAGCAGCATCCATCCCTTCTGAGCAGCCCTGAGGCTGTTTTCCCCTCAGTGCATCTCTGCAAAATGCACTATTCCCAGCTCCTACAAAGCCCTAATTAAAAACAGACCCAAGCCCTAACCAGATTACTGAAACTGGCAGCCACACAAGGTGCAGAGGGTGGTATTAATGACTTCAGTGGAGCCAGAAGACTTTATGAAGATTTTAGATAACGCTATGAAACTGATGGGGTGAAATAGAACAGGGGGGGTGTGAAAGTCGTGGCTACAATACACCAGTATGTAATGGGACACTAAAGGACTCAGGCAAGATCCCATTTACATCACATAAATTAAAAATACAAAACAACAAACACTTATTTGTGGGTTTAGTCAAAATATAACATTATGATGCCTTATATTTCTATCTGTCTGCCCCAGAACCCCATAACTGTTTCTTGGCTGATCAGACAGAAGTACATGAGCTCAGGGAGGGAATCAGATCAGTTCTTGTTCCATCATGATGAAGAGAAAATGAATGGCAGATTAAGAATTAATGAATCTCTCCTGGAGGTAGGGAAGAGTGTCAGTTAATTCAATTATGGGGCACACCTACAGAGCAGCTGTTCTCATTTAATATGGGTGGGGGGAGAAGCATAAGGGAATGCAGCCTGGGAAGAGGAAATAAGGGAAGAGGAGACAGGAAGAGGTGCTGTGTGGAAGAGGTAAGGCTGGGGAGGTCTTTCTCCTGCTTGGTATTCAGTACAAGAACTTGGTGGGTGTTTTAAGAAAAATCAGGACTGGGTCTAAGCCAGAGGTGAGCAGTAACCTGTGCTTCACACAATGTACTCTCTGAGGAGAGACACTGGTTGTGGCCAGTACTGGGCTGAAGGGAAGGGTGAGGGTTGCCAATATCATGGAAAGCATCAGGGAACCTGGTGGAAATTTGGCAGGGACAACTGGCTGTAGGAGGCGCAGGATCCCCGTGGGCTTGTGTAACATCTTGGGTTACACAGAGTATTAAAAAGGAAACATTTTAATCCTCAAAGTAACAGTCTGACACCACAATGAAAAAGGTTTAGCTGTGATTTCTACTGAAACTTGAATCTGAAGTCTGAGTTCTAGGTTTTAAGGGTGATAAAGGCAGAGGTTTCCTTAATAATGTGAGCATGGGACAGGTTAAGATCAGCTGTTTCACTTTAGAAACAAGCTCTCAGTCACACAACCTGCTTCAGACCACGTCCTTCTCCTCTTGTGGACCCCAGAGAAGCACCTACCTATTTCCCATATATTCTCGGTGCCGTAACAGGGCTTTAGCTGCCATTTCGGGAGCTGCAAACTGCACAAAAGCTTCTCCTGTTCTTCTTTCTCCCCGGTAAATGAAAACTATGTCAGTGATTTTCAAACCTATAGAAGGGTTGGGGAGAAAAAAGGGTATTTACATTGTCAGGAACTTGTGCCATAGCTCAGAGAGACAACTTTGTCCTTATTCTTCTAGTTTTTGACAAGATAATCAGGCAGTTAAATAGTTCTGAAACAACTGCTCATGCTGACCTGCATACCTTTTATTTAAACTTTTTTTTTTAATTCCAAATTACAGGATTTAAGTTTAGTTTTCACAGAAGGTTCAATTGCCAATAATCAATTGAGTTAAGGCTTTAAGTAACTACGAAAACGAGTGAATCCAAGTTGCAGACAAGAAGGAAGTCCAGAACACGAGTGTTCTTGAAATTGTCTTATTATTGTAGTTTTCTTTCATCTCTGTAAAACCCAGCTCAAATTGACTGCACTTAGATTTTTGTTCTGTGTATCTTTTTGGGGAGCCTGTCATGCACTGAAGAGCCTTCTCTGACATGACACAGAGTGCACACCAGGCTGAGCTATTATGCTTATTTTTTTCAGGAATGCCTTTTTGTGTATCTCCTTGAGCCTTGTTGTTTTCTCAAAGGGTGTCCCCAAGCTCCTAAAAATAATGGAAATACTCCACAACACTACCCTCCTCCTCTCAATGTGATAATGCTGCTACTAGATGCCTTCACACAGATTGAAATACTTTTATTGACTGAAAAGTATTATTGGTGGCCTTTGCTTTTGGCGTGATGGTGGTTATTATGAGCCTTGGTGCTGCAGGACTCTGTGTGTGTGTCTACCTGGAGTGGAAAAACTCTAGGGGAAGAACTGGTTTAGTCTGTAATTTAAGCTTTATCTAAGGAAATGTCAATTTATTTTGCAAAACCTAGAAGGGCTTCTTTCCTAACCAATGCAGGTTGCAAGTGGGGGACATGAGCGTGGAGACACACACTGTGCAGTAGTTGCTCAGCTGAGAACTGCTGCAGTTCACTTTCACAACCATTAACAAGCCAGTAATAATAATAATAGTAAAAAAAAATGCTGTTAACAGTTTTAACAGTGGTATATGGGATCTAACTGTCATGATTACACATCTGTGAATACCCATGCTGCATTCACTTGTACTTTAGCTATCATACAGGCATTTTTTCCCCCTCTTAACTTTGCCAAAGTTTAAATTTGCAGGTAACAGGATCTAGGTTCCTCCTCTCCTTCCTTCCCCCACCTCTGTAAGAGTGCTACAGGCACTGATCCTAGGCTAGACCTGCAGAAAGTCAAAGGTGCAAGAAAGCCTTGCAGCCAAAAGCATGTTCAGAAGACTCTAGTTAGTTCCAGCTGCAGGGGAACAGCAACTCCTTGCAGTGTTTCAGGTGTTCAAGCATGTGCTCTTCCTCCTCTCACGTAGAGGAAGAACGGTCCAGCCGAGCATCAGCTTGGAGAAACAAACCAAAAAGCACAGAACAGGCTGAGCTACCTGAGAAAAAAGCTGCAATATCATCCTCGGTGGAGCTGAAGGGAAGGCCTCTGAGCAGCACAACTCCATCGTTTATGGCTTGGGACTCATCCCGCAGACTCCGGAGCAAGCCCTCCACATCGCTGTCGTGTACTTCAAACACTGCAAGGAACAGGCACAAACCATGGTTTCCCTCATGGCACTAAGAAGGTGACATTCATTTCAGTTCTTTTCCCCCTGTGAAACTTCATAGAATCATAGAATGGTTTGGGTTGGAAGGGACCTTAAGGTCACCCAGTGCCACCCCCTGCCCTGGGCAGGGACACCTCCCACCAGCCCTGGTTGCTCCAAGCCCCCTCCAACCTGCCCTTGAACCCCTCCAGGGATGGGGCAGCCACAGCTTCTCTGGCCAACCTGGGCCAGGCTCTCACCACCCTCATAGTAAAAAATTTCTTCCTGAGATCTAATCTGAATCTTTTTTCTTCCAATTTAAAACCGTTTCCCCTTGTCCTATCATTACCCTTCCTGGCAAAGAGTCCCTCTCCAGCTCTTCTATAGGCACCCTTCAGGTATTGAAAGGCCACTATAAGGTTTCCCCGGAGCCTTCTCTTCTCCAGGCTGAACAATCCCAGCTCCCTCAGCCTGTCTTCAGAGGAGAGGTGCTCCATCCCTCTGATCATCTCCATGGCCCTCCGCTGCACCTCTTCCAGCTGGTCCATGTTCTTTCTGTGTTGAGGACTCCAAAGCTGGACACAGTGCTCCAGGTGGGGTCTCAGGAGTGCAGAGTAGAGGGGCAGAATCACCTCCTGAGACTTCACGTTTCTTCCCCCAACCTCATACTCTCTGATCTTGTGATGGTGCCCCTCACTTTGCTTTTCCTGCCCAGCCTGGAAAGTTTTAGCTTAATGGTGCCTTTGGGGCTAATTTGCTGCTTTGTCCTGCATCCCACCCTTCTCCACACCATCCCACTTTATTATTCAAGCAGCTCTTGTTCACTTTATCTTGAGTTTCTTTCCATTGTAACTTCCTGACGTTTCAAACCCACCTTTGACGTAGCGTGGGCCCATGTACCTCAGGTGCTTTTCCAGGGCTCTCTGGACATCTGCCTTGGACTCCAGCTCGATCAGGGCATCCCCCCTGCGCCTCCCATCCCTGTTTAAGAGGAAGTGTATGCCGTTCTCACCATTTCGAATTCTACAGCCTAGAAATCAAGGAACACACGATACAGAAACATACGCAACTGCGTCAAACACAGGGGAGGTCTTTTGATTGCAGGTGAAAGCTGATTATTCTGCACAGAGCTCTCCGCCTCAGCAGCGCAAAGCAGTTAGGAATTTCCTAGCCTTTGCTTCCAATTTCTACCCTAAACCCTAACACCCAAAGCTTATCACACAGAAGAATTTGATTTGACATCCATTGGCCTCCCCAGCTGTATAACTGGATAGTAAACATTCTCATACTGTTGATAAACTTAACTGCTTCTAAGTTACTTAAAATCAAACCCAAATGTTAGTCTTTCATCCTCTACAGCTATACTCTGCCTGCTCCATGTTCCTTTCCCCTAGGACTTCAAACTGACTTAATTTAGTTTGGTGGGTTATTAAACCACTTAAAAACTCAGACCATCCAGCCTACTCTGGAAGGATGCATCATAACATCACAGTACGGAGCGATCAGCCCTGCAAAGGTATGCACAAGCCTATTAATTAGAATCAGAAAGCAACACTGAAGTTTATACTGGTAAGTAAAAAGCACTCCAGTTTGTTTAAAAGAGGGGAGATGGGGGGGAAAGGCAACCATAATGGTCTTTAAAGGAAACACTTCAAATTGGACTGAATTTACTGGGGAGACACCAACTAAGAAGGGAAAGACTTGCTCAATTAAATAAAAAGTGCCACAAAGGTGAGTTTCTAGTCATTGTCCAACAGTCTGGGAGCTGCTTATTTGTTTTAGATGTGCAAATTGTGGATAATTTTGCACGAATATTAAAAACTCCTCTTTGTCTGGCTAGTAAAGATCTTTACGTTTTCTTCCTGCCAACTAATCATTAACTGCTGGGTGCCATAAAACCACACCGAACAGCTACGCGGGAAAATTAAGGCACATACTATCAAAGAAGGTGAGCACGTCCTCCTCGGTGCAGGAGAAGGGGAATCCTTGTGCCCTGACGAGAAAGACGTTGTCGTTGTCTGCCTTGGGCGACTCGGGCTCCTGCTCCGAGAGGTGACCTTCCTGGGACGGGGCATCTGTAACTTGCTACCAAAAAAGAAATTAAGAAAAAAAAAAAAAGTTAAATTAAGAAGTGGCGGCAGGCGGGGTTTGGTTGTGGGACCCGGCTACGTTCAGCGCATGGTGACTGGGTGCTATGGGCAGGCAAGGGCAAGGGGGGCGGCGAGGGCCGCTCTCCAGGGCTGCCCCCTCTCCGCTGGTGGGTTTAACGGCCCCGCCGCCCCTCCGGCCCCGTCCCCAAGCGACGGGGACACCCCCCGAGGCGGCGGGGACCCTCCGACCGCCCCGCTCCCCTCCCGGGCGGCGGGGTCCCTCATGTCTCCCCCGCCCGCCGCCATCTTAGGCCCGGCGCCGGTGGGCCCCTACCTGGCTGTACCCACGGAAGGCGGCGCAGAGCGGAGCGGGAACCCGCAGGGCGGCCGGGCCCGGCCCGAGGGAGGCGGCGGCGGCGCTGAGGAGGCCGCGGGCGGGCGGCGGGCGCAGCCAGAGC